GTTCCAAGCACTTTTCACACCTGTTCCTCAAAGAATTAAAGACATTTTCTAAGATGCTCGGGGTATTGTTAATTTCACGAATATTGTCTAGTCAGTTCAAAAATAGTGTTTTTAAGGTAAGGCCACAAAAAGAAATCACACGGCGTAATATCACATGACCTCGGTGGAAATTCATGTTCAGCATTGAGACTTATTAGTCGATTTTGGAAAACTTCCCTCAACATATTCATCGTCGAGCCTGCAGATGGTTTAAATCAGGAATAGGCAGTTCAAAAATAGTGTTTTTAAGGTAAGGCCACAAAAAAAAATCACACGGCGTAATATCACATGACCTCGGTGGAAATTCATGTTCAGCATTGAGACTTATTAGTCGATTTTGGAAAACTTCCCTCAACATATTCATCGTCTCGCCTGCCGTATGTGCCCTTGCGCCATCTTGTTGAAAGTAAAAGTTTGTAATTTCGTTTTCTTCCAGCTGGTTAACAAAAGGATCGATAATTTCTTCTCTATACCTTTGCGCAGTAAGAGTACCATTAAAAAAAATAGGTCCATAAATCCTCCTTCGATTGAGAGCACACCAAATTCCAATTTTTTGAGCGTGTAGAGGGCCCTCGACAAAAAAGTTATCTGGTTATTCAGAAGACCACATTCTCATATTCTGTGAGTTTACGTAACCACTTAAATGAAACCAGGCTTCATCAGAAAAAAAGGTGATATTATGAAGTTCACCGTAGTTGTTTAAAAACCATTCACAAAATACAGCCCGTCGCGGAAAATCAACTTCATGAAGTTCTTGCTGACAAGTTAAACGATAGGAGAACAAACGCAAATCTTTTTTTAACACTGTGTGGCAGGTACCGACTGATACTCCCACCATTTGTGATAAAACACGTACAGAAGTTCTTGGCGCATTTTCCATTATTTGCTGGACATTTTCTTTTAATTCTTCAGTCCGCTTTTTAGGTCGGCCGCTTCCTTCTTTTCTTGTTACACTGCCCGTTTCACGAAAAACATTAACACAACGCTGAACTGCACTTTGAAAAATTTTGAACTCAACAACGCCGGGAAATTGATTTTTAAATTCTATGAAACATTCCTCAATAGAATACTTCCATATTCCATCAATCTTGCGTCCATTTCTAAAGTAGGACTTTATGAAAAACACTTTTTGTTCTCGAGAAAACACCATTTTAAACGCTTTTTAAAACGAAAATATTCAAATTGATAGCGGCGATATAGCGCTTTGACAGATGACGTTTAAGTTCATTTGCTATACGCTACGCCCTACGTCCAAATTTTCAGAACCAACTTGACCACGTTTTTATTTGAACGCTCGTTATTTAATCTCCAGTTTTAATTTTAAAGTGTCCTCTGAAGAAGAGAGAAATGTTTCTCGAAACGTCAAAAACTCGAAACTGACGATTTGAACCACTGACAACTACTGTCACGGAAGCCTAACAAACTAGTATTTCTGCTTCGGGCGGACTGCTTCTTCATTAATTATTATTATTGTAGATGGAAGAGTTATGATGACTATGAGTTATCTACAGATCTTATTGAAAATGGTATAAAATAATATAAACTTCAACAGTTAATATTTAAAAAATTATTTAGGAAGACAACCCATTAGAATTTCAAAAACTACCTACTTTATTTTAAATGTTAAAAAATTGATATGTAATAGTCAGCTTTTTGAAGAACTTATGGGCTATTCTTGATGGTAAGTACATATTTAATATTGCAATCAAATATCAGCTCTTCACTACAAATTATTTCAATGTTGGAGTTGATTGTCATTCTTTTTAAAAAAATAGCATACAACACTGCTTCAGAACTTCTGCTCTAACTTAAGTAAACTATATTTCACATAATTCGTTGATTGAAATACTTGTCAACGCATAATTCTTTTCAACATTGAATTAAGATATTTGTTACAGTTACTCCATCTGCAGCTTAATTCTATATTTTATTTAATTCACGGCAGAGGAAACTCCTTTGTTATTTCTTATAATTAGTCAATTTTTACTATCATCTAACAGATGGCGATACTCTGCTACAGCCGTGCCGACGAAAACTTTTCAACCACTAGAATTCAGTACTTGTTGATTGCTTCGTAGGGTGTTCACTGCTCAGATAAAATTAAAACAGTGCCATCTACATAAAATCAATACCATGTATTCTAAATGTACAAATAAAACAGGAGCAGCCTACAGTTAGAATAGCATAGATGGCACCACAAGTATATTTCAAACCATAGAATGTATACTACATGGAAGGACAACGCGTGTTCAAAAGTGTAGACGCTCTTGATTTTATTTTAATATCACGAGAATAAACAAACAAAATCTATCACAACTTTTGTGCTTATACTAAAACCATTTTAAGATTGCCATTATGTCTGTGTTTATTAACAATTTTTTGCATAAAATTTTCCTTTTAATTAAGCCATTTCGATGGGAAATTCAATTCTTTAAATAATTTTTCCTATGAACTACAACGAAATTTTAATTCGTTTTCGAGCTACAATTAAAAAACTGAAAGGGGTGCATTTTCACCCCTACCTCCAATTTCCATCCTCTAATTTAATAGCTTTATCTAAAAAGTAGCAGCCATGCATGAATGTAGTTAAAATCATTTTAACTTAAAGCGGGAATATGGCCCAACGAAAAATGGGGTAAGGAATCGAGGGCGGTATAGCTCACTGATTGGTTGAATTAAGTGTAACGCGCTACAGTCGAAGTTCTGTGAACGAAGTATTAGCCCGCACTAGCTCTATCTCTCTCGCACACGTCTGTGCGATTGCCGTTTATATTGGTAAAATGACAGTTGGGCGAGTCCAGTAATTTATAAGGTCTATGCTTGTGACGCAATGGAAAAGATACAGCGGTTTTAGTGCACCTTTTTTTTACAAAAAAGGGGTAGTGATAGACAACTCGAAATTCTTATAAGAATGTTTTTACTTCAGAACTTACCAAAGTTTAGTACGGATATTATCCTAGGCAAAATTAGTTTCGAGTGTATAAGAAACTGTTTGGCCAAACATTAATACGAGGATCTGTTGTATGTACTTTTCATGCGACATATGTTATCCGTAGTATTTTTGCCTCCCGATCACGAATTGGTTGTCAGAATTGAGCTATCACCTCAAAAAACAGGTCAAAAATAGCAAAAATTCACGAAAAAGTGGTAGGAAAAATACAAAAAAATTTTTTTTCTACATTCACATGTTTACTTATATGTATGGTTAACACTCCGCCGAACGCGGTCAGAATTGATGGTTGTTTTTCTAACCTAAAAAAAAAACGGGTCAATTAAGGTCAGATATCACGAATTTTCAAAAAAAGCAAATTTGCGCCAAATTTGGTGTACAGAGGATTTCGGGGTCGCCGATTACGGATCCCAGGTAAATTTTGCAAAATTCAAGATGGTGGATCCAAGATGGCGGATCCAAGATGGCGGATCCAAGATGGCTGAACAAATTTTAAAAAAATTACACATTTGCGTCAAATTTAGTATACTGAGGTTTTCGGGGTCGCTGATCACGGATCCGAGGTTAATTTCGCAAAACTCAAGATGGCGGATCCAAGATGGCCGAACAAATTTTAAAAAATAACACATTTGCGTCAAATTTAGTATACTGGGGTTTTCGGGGTCGCTGATCACGGATCCGAGGTTAATTTTGCAAATTCAAGATGGCGGATCCAAGATGGCCGAACAAATTTTCAAAAATTAACACATTCGCGCCATATTTGGTATACGGGAGTTTTCGGAGTCGCTGATCACGGATCCGAGGTTAATTTTGCAAATTCAAGATGGCGGATCCAAGATGGCCGAACAAATTTTAAAAAAATAACACATTTGCGTCAAATTTAGTATACTGAGGTTTTCGGGGTCGCTGATCACGGATTCGAGGTAAATTTTGCAAAATTCAAGATGGCGGATTTAATATAGCCGACCAGTTTAAAAAAATAACACATTCGCGTCAAATTTGGTATACGTGGGTTTCCGGGGCGGCAGTTTGTAATATTTTTGTTTACTTTATAACCTAAATACCCAATCATGTTTTCACCTTTTTTCCGGCTAAATTTTTTTCTGTAAAAGATCTATTAACGGGTTTTCTACCTAATCTCAGGTAACAAAGTACATACATAGGTAATTGATAAAATTTTTAAAAACGAATTTTGTAAATCTGATATCGGATTCGTGATTAGTGACCCCGAAATCCCCCGTATCCCGTATACCAAATTTGATGTGATTGTGTTATTTTTTGAAAATTTAGTCGGCCATGTTAGATCCGCCATCTTGAAGTTTACAAAATTGAACTCGAATCCGTGATCAGCGACCCCGAAAACTCCCGTATACCAAATTAGGCGCGAATCTATTATTTTATGAAAATTCGTGATATCTGACCTTAATTTCCATTTTTTTTTTTTTAGGTTAGAAAAAGAACCATCAATTCTGACAGCGGATTCACATTCAGCGGGATCTTAACCATATAAATGAACTTTTAAATATAGAAAAAAAATTTTTTGTATTTTTTGTAGCACTTTTTGGTGAATTATTGCTATTTTTGACCTGTTTTATTTGAGGTTAGGAAATTCCTGTGATGTGATAGCTCAATTCTGACGCCGGATTCGTGATCAGGAGGCAAAAATACTACAGATAACATATGTCGCATGAAAGTACAGACAACTTTTCTTCTAAGCATAGAAGCTTGTTGAAATTATTAAAAACCTTGTCGTAAATTCTCCTTTCACAAATATATGGTGAGGTCCTGGGATACAAGCTCTATGCAGTCCCTCGTTGTAAAAAAAAAAATTCAAAACCAAGACTCTTTGGTTTGATTCTAAAAATAGATCTTGCATAGAGGCCGCTTGATCTTATGAGGCCCCGTAGCTGCCCCCTCCCCCCTTAATTCGGCCCTGGTAAGGATAGAAGAATAGAAGGTAATAAAAAAACAACTAATTACATAAATTTTTATTTGCAATAAATACATATACCAAAAATCTTACCAGATATTTTATAAATTTAGCTTTTCAACATTAACAAAAAATATGACTTTTTACAAGGAACATTAAACAATGTCTCTAGAAGCAATCTATTTAAGCCCAGCTAATATCATAAATAATATTTCCTATTGTACAGCACAGTAAAACTGTGCCTGAAACTTTACCCTTTCCAAAAATATGTCGCAAGAAATAAAAAGTGCGTCAAAATGCAGCGAAAAAAATTTAAAAGTCCTATACTTGAAATAAAAATCCTAACGGTAAAGTTAATAGAATTTTTTTCAAACCTTGTCTTCATTTGTATTAAATATATCTTGTAAGATTGCAGTTTAGGGCTACACAGTGTTATTATGAGGATATAGGTTTCAGATTTTTGCAAAGGTACAAAATGAGATAAAAGTTCAAAGAAAAACGGATGATTTAGATTTCGTTAGGAAAAATAATTAAGCCATACAATGTAATGTGCCTATGCTAGAAAAATATAGAATTTAGCAGCCCATACTGTGAAACCGATGACGCTATATTACAGATTTGATTTCGATTAAAATAAACGGTCAAGTGCACCATACCCTTCAATTAAACAACAAATAACCTACGAATCTACGTTATATCCACAAGTAGTAACTTTGTTTACAAATATTAGTTTTGACTAGATTCTGACTACTATATTACTCTTTTCAATGCATCAACATTCAGTCTCATTCAAACCTCTCAGTCCTGAGATAGCTTTTGATCATAATGCCGCAAAATACGTTAACAGAAGTCGATATTTCCAAGATCCCAGTACACTAATAGTTTTTGGTCGATTAACAATATTTTGTCTTCTCTACAAACTAAGACCCTAGATTTCTAGTTTGGAAACAATCTCTAAGGCAGATGGAATACTTACTTATCCCTTGGTCAACCTCTTAATATTTTAACTTCTCGATAAAAATCTGCTCAGTCTTAACTGGAAGATAAAATATTTGAATCTTGATATGGTACGTCAATATTGCACTCGTTTTCATTCAAGTCTTCGTCCTCTTCGTCGGCAAACTTGATGCCGTCCAGAAAGTCACCGTCCAGACTCGGCGACTTCTCAACCTTGGTTTCCTTCTCCATGTCCTTCCTCAACAGCTTCGGAGACGCCCTGAGCTTCTTGGGAAACTCGTGCAGTTGAATTGATACAGTTTTAGGCTGGTGAACCAAAGGCTGCACCTCACTGATAAACTTATTGTCCATCTTCTCGCTGCTCTCTTTGTGAATCAAGGGGTGGACTCTCTTGCATTTCGGTTTAAAAATCGGGGAACGTTTGGAGTTGTTGGCGCTGACGTCGCTCAGCGATCTTTTCCTACATTTAGGCAGTAACATTTCCTCTTCTGGCGATTCCTTATTGCTACCGGGGTCTATGTAGACTTTCGGTCTGATGTCTTCCATTTCGTGGTACTCTTGGTCTTCTTCCGGGAGGATCTCGCCGGATTCGTCCAGTGGCGGGATCCACACTAAAAATGCCGGATCCATTCCTAATTTGATTATTAAATAATAAGCAATTGTTAATACAATTTTAAGCAACTGATTTCTAGAACAAAATGTGAGAAGAGTTGAGTTTTTTGTGGAGTATATGTGGTTGAGAAGTGCCAGAAAAATATGATGTTTTTCCAAACGTAGTCAAATTGTGGTAAGGATGATTCGTATGAAGCTAAAGACAAGAATTGATTTAGTTTTTAAGAAATGGATAGATTCAGAGGTACTGAATGCAATAAGAAAGCAGCAACGACAAGAATGATATCCAATAATGCAGTATCAGAAGAACTGTTGAAACTTAATTATGTTATAAGGAGCGTAATGGAGAATTTGGTGCACAAGAAGTATTAGAAAATATCTAAGAAGGCACAAGTGTAAGATCCACAAAACAAATGAGGTGATATAAAGGAAGAGCTAGGCGACTGGAAGACCCTATGAAAGAAGCTAGCAAAGACAGATTACATTAATCTGAAGATATTTCTGGAATCACAAAACAAAACTCAAACTCACCAGATGTCTTGCACCCTTAAGGGTAAAAAACTTACGGATCAAGTATGTATCTGAAGTGTTTTGCGTAAAGCATGCGAACTATGTCTTTCTTTTTACCTAAGTATGATCCTGGTGCTGCTCCTGCATTTACAACATTGTAATCGTAGTAATCCATCTCCAAATCCAAATCTTGGGCCACTATTGAAAATTCCGAACCGGTCGGCCCCGCCAGGAGTTTCTCTCTGTTCCTTTTCTCTTTGGTCTCTTTGGCGTTTGTACTCCTTATGGTCGCCGTGCTTATCATGCTTGCTGCGGGAGAGTAGCATCCCTGGAAAAGAATACGAACTTCACACAAGCAGTCTTGGTTTCACTGTTTATTATTATTTTTTTAAATAATGCATTTATTTAAAGATTTTGGTCAGGGTGATTCAATCTCCTTTTAAAGGGAAAGCAAATTACCCCTTCGCATCACATTTTCTGATCAAGAACGCGCCGGCGGATCACAGAGCGTTCGAACGTTGAAGCGAAACAGCCAATTTCCTCAATCGCCCAAAATTTTGCAATTGGCTTCAAAATCAAAGTGCAGCGAATCCCAACTTTATTAACGAAGGTCTATGGGTGGATGAGTGTTGTTTTAGACGTACTGGCATTTTAAAATAAGTATGTACCAGTACTATACTACTGTTTGAAAAGCAATAAGTCACTAGGTATACGTACTACAAACTGAATTGAATTAATTGAATATAATACTAAAAATTCGTATTCATTTATAAAACATAGTAAAAACGTTAATAATATTAAAAACACTAAATTGTAATAACCTGACATTCGAAAACAATTAATATCCTTATACAGGGTGGGCAAAAAGTTTGGAACTCCCCCTCTATCTCAGAAAAAAATGCTTAAACAAAAAAATTATTAAGACAAAAGTTGCAGGGTTTTGAGTGAGAAATCCAACGGTGACATTCACATTGACATGACCTTGAAGGTCATTTAGAGGTTTTAATGGAACCGTATACTTTTGACCCCGGAAATGGTAAGAGCGGAAAATTTTACGTTCGAGTGTGACCTTGATCATGACCTTCAAGGTTATTTAGAGGTTAACCTGAAACTTTTAAATGGAATCGTATATTTTTGACTTCGGAAATGGAAGAAATGGAAATTTTTACATTCGGATATGACCTTGACCATGACCTTCAAGGTCGGTTACATGTCAAGTCGATTTTTAATAAATGACCCGATATTATTCGCGCTTTTCATTTCCAGGACCAAAAGTATAGGGTTCCACTTAAAATTTTCAACTTGACCTCTAAATGACCTTGAATGTCATGGTCAAGGTCACATTCGAACGTAAAATTTTTCATTCTTACCATTTCTGGGGTCAAAAGTATACGGTCCCATTTAAAATTTTCAACTTGACCTCTAAATGACCTTCAAAGTCATGATCAAGGTCACCGTTGGATTACTCACTAAAAATCCTGTAACTTTTGTCCTAATAATTTTTTTGTTTGAGCAGTATTTTCTGAGATAGAGGGGGAGGTTCCAAACTTATTGAACACTCTGTATATTTGTTTTTATTAACAAATAAATAATATATCTTATTCACTCATGTGTCTATGTAAACAGAGCTGTTTACTCTTTGTTGTTCGCTACGTATTAAAAACGCAATAAAAACTAGGTTACTGACCGAAAATGCGGTAGGTCAAGATTCACTCTCGATAAACCTTTGTGGGTCAGTGGTCAGGGCCGGCCCGAAAACGGGTTCAAATAATGATTTGAAAAGATTTTTATTCACCATAAATATACATTTTAAAATTATTTTAATCTCGTATTCGTTTTCTACCATTTTTTCCCTATCTTCCATTAAAATTAAAGAATTAATGACATTATGACTGAATCACCCTGTATATTAAATTTTCAATCTTAATTGATAATATTTTTGTTTTTCTTTTTTTTATGAGAATTACAGTGCTTCTAAAAGTGCTCTGGTGAAGGATAGGGGCTAATAAAACAATAGAACTTGTAAAGTGTAAAAGTGTAAAATTCACGCAATTGCCTTTGCATTAGCTATGTATGGGAAATGGGAGACTGCGGTATCTTTTACGGTGTCGCAAACGCAGGGACAGGTCTAAGTAATAGCGGCGGATATTATAAACTAAATTTATTGCTGTACTCAAAATAGTATGCAGTTTGCATTCCCTCGGAACTTCCGACCTACATTTCACGACAACGCAACCGACGTCTCTTTGAAGTCATGGCAAGTGAGTGGGTACGTGCTGAATATTCTGGTGTACGTGTGCTTTCGGGATGTCGAGTTAGGCGAGAGATTTCCATTTTGTTGCTAAGTGTCCTGCTTCAAGGAAAATAATTCATTACTATAAAGAGTATTTCTTTTAATGTGAATATTATTAAATATAAATTGTTTTTTAATTGCAATTACTGTTTTAATGTCATTTCCATCTCACATCAGAAGTGGGATTTTTATTATTGATGAGAGTCACAAATTTGGCGCCTAACGTGGGGCCAAATTAATTTAATTTTTTCTATTCATATCTAGCGACTACTATCCATTGTCCTTTCAGTCAGACGTAGTAACAAGCATGGAGAATCTACGGCCCATAAAACCTAACTAATAACTGTGTTCGTGAACGGTGCACGGTTGGGCAAGTAAACGACGAGAAAAGAAAATACTTCACCGGATCACTTCTAGAACAAATCTGAGACATCGCGCTCACATTTGTCAATGTGGCATTACTGACGTTGCTCAGCCTTCTAACGGCCCTTATGGCTTCTCTCCCCTTATTTCCTTTCGCCTCGTCCTTCTCGTTCGATCTGTCCTTCTCGCTGGTGAGCGTCGACGAGCGACGTAAGGTCCTGCAACACCGACAAGAATGATTAAAGCACGATGAAAATGTTTGGCGAATAGTTTACATTATTTCTTTGTTGTCGATGTAGGTTTTGAATGTACGTTTTTACTGAAGCATTTGTGTTGTTTCAATTATACATAAAAAGTGCTGTAGAAAATCAGTTACCACAAGTATTATGTATAATATAATTATTAACAGTGCATTTTTAAAATATTTTTTAATTTCTAATCCTCAAAGATCACACTAGTGCGAATTCGCACCACTGGTTTTTTTGAACCGCTGGTATTTCTCAGGTAGCAGTTTCTGAGGGTTCCCCCACCACGATAATTCTTTCTATAGCCCAAACAGTCGAGCCGTACCACAGCTGGCCTCAGTCTGTTATTGTCGGCCAAACTAGAGAGCCTGAAAAGTCCGATCGGTGCGAATTCGCACTAGTGTGACTTTAGTGTGGCTGAATTTGTATCCTATAATATACAAATAAAGTGAATTAAAATGCATTTTTTTACGTCATTTTACGTGTCGAATAGACTAGAACATTGTTTATTTAGTTATTGTTAATAATTATTCAAACATTTTTTTTCTTTAATAGTTTAATTGTAACATGTATTTGTCAATATTTATGGATAATATTTAGGGCTGTCAGAGAGAGCCGCAATTAAATGGCGTGCCAAGCCGGCCAACCGAGACATGCGCGAGCCGCTGCCTCAGAATGCTTTTCACGTTCACGTCACGTTAGTATACTGTTGCCTTTGTTATAGTGCGGATATTGCGTAATTAATTCCTATCCGTTGGTGTTTATGATGCTGTATTGAAGACAATTTAATTTGTTGCTTTTTAATAAATAATGCGTACGTTTATGTCCTGCGGCTCAGCTCTAATAATATTGTTTTAATTAATATTTTTATACAAAAGAGTGCAAAATAAACATCAATTTACAGGAAAGGAGTAAAAAATCACAATTTTAAAAAATGCCTACGTTCGAGATACCGGAAAAAATCATTTTATCAATATTGGGTATTTTTTTCTAAAAAATATAGACTTTGAACTTCAAAACCCTTTTACTTTTTCTCTAGCCTTATTTATAAAAAAAATACGAATTAGAAAAAAGTAATTTTTTGAAAAATGTTTTTTCTTTAAATCGTATTTTTTATTAATAAATTATTTTTTTTCGAACCTCGATTTCTCGACAAATTTTACCCCAGTTTTAATATAAATACGCTGTTTTCGTTACCAAATAAAGACATAAAAGTTCAAAGATGACAAAATCCCAACTCGCACTAGTGTGACCTTTAAGGGTTAAAAATGTCCCTTTAAAAATGTTACGGCACTGTAGTCTTTTGATATAATATGTAATTTTTAATTAATAACAACTATCTCTCCGTCATTAACAATAACAAAACCATCATTCATTGATACAAACCATAGAGCACGGACTAAGCACTGCGCGTTAAAAAATGTAGACGCTGTAGAGAGAAAGGGCGATAGTTTAGGTGTTCGCTCTCTCTTTGTCTCTAATCGTTGAGGAAGAGTGGGGAGATCCCGCCTTACCCCCGAGCGGTAACCAATCACGTGCCTGCGCGAGAGAGGAAGATAGTATCCATACTATCTCTTTCTCTCTCTGTCACTGTGACTTGTGTTTAATTTTGTAAAAAATTAATTCAAGCGATTCTAAAGAAGAGAAAAAGTGAAAGAAGCAACAGAAATTTTCCCATTTTTGTTAATTGCAATAAAAAAAAATGAATGCAGATTGAGATCCAACCGAGGTATTGAAGAAATACAAATAAAAAAAAAAAATTTCTCACTATGTGGCGGTTTAATCATTAATGCAGTGATTGCACACGTTAGGAGAAAAACTCTTTTGACGTTTGCAGAGCGACGGAACTAACCTTTTTTCTCCGAGTTGCGGAGAGCTGGGCAAACTACAGGTTAGCGCGGCCTCCTCTGTTTCGCTGGTGGTTTGCGGCAAAGAAGCGGTTTGAGTTTCTGGCTGTGTTAAAGTTGCAGTGCTGCTGGCGCTCAGGGAATCCTCTTCCTTCCTGCAAACAATTTTCAAATGATGCCGAGAGTTGTACCGAACTTCGAGAGGAATAATTAGGGAGCGTGATATTTCACCCTCGATTGATCGTCCGCATTCCGAAGCCGAGAAATTTAGCTGGAATAACTTTTAAGAAAAATAGTTTACATTATTCATAGAACGTCTCACCTGTTTCGATTTCTGATTGGCTAAAAAGCCCAAATAAAAAACCTTAAATATAGTTGGTTGGCAGAAATAAAAAGTTTTAATTTTTTTTTCGGGCCGTTACTACGATTCGCTCGGGCGCCTGAGCCTGGCTGAATTAGTTCACATCAAGAGATTCCGACCCTAGATTATAATTTTCTTTCCGCCCGGCAAAGTTCCAAAATATTATATAATTGCTGAAGTGAAAAGTTGAACCTTAAGCCTTTTCTTTCAATCCGAGAAACTCTCATAATTGAAGCCCATTGTGTTAAGCGCTGTTGAATAAAGGACTTTTCGAATTGGAATCGTCGGTTCGGACGTAAATCCTTTGAGAAGTTCAAAAAGTGCGACGCAGCAGTTGCCAAACAGGAAGCGTACCGACCGCTTTGGGTCAAGGTGAGCACTAGCGCATTCTCTCCGTCGCATGTGAGGACTGCATCACATTTAAAACATCAAAAGAACGGAAGTGGCGTTTATAGTGAACAAAATTAAAACTCCACATTTCTGATAAATAAATTATAACACTGTAGTTATAAGAATTAATGCAATATTTTGAAAGATTATTACAAAAATAAATGACGGTGTTCTACGTCAATTCATTGTACTAGAAATAATTCTCACACATAAGGAGCATCGGCTTATTGTACCTGCGGTTTGGATGACCAGTTTATTTTATTTTCTTCTATTGAATTAAAGGCGAAAGACTGTTCTTGCTTTCATAGGATAGCGGTGTATAATTTTTAACTATTTGTGCTATGTGGTGTTATTTATTATACAGAGCGTTAATGAACTTATGTCAAAAATTTAAAGAGTTGAAAAAGGAGTAAAAACTGAGTTAACTGATGTCACAAACTTGTATCGGAAGTTTAATATCATAGAGAAACAAGCTAATTAAAAATGTGTTTAAGACTGTTTTGGAACTGCTGAAATACATGTATTTTATCGCGGTGAGTACTTACAAAAAATTCTGTAACACCTTTTACGAATTTGTAGGTTTCTTATGAAGCAGGACTGTATTCGAAAGTCAGTTTGTAATACATTGTTGTAGTGATTGCTGTGATGTTTTTCGAGAGTACATTTAATAGTCGCATTTCCAAGTTTTCTGTTGAAAATGGTGCATTTATTTAGCAATCGCGAAGCTTGTGTATTCCACGGAAGTTCGTGACATCGACCAACTGCGACATCGTATTGCCAAAGCTTGTAATACGATTCGAGAGGACGTGGCAATGTTGCAACGCATGCGAGCGAATTGGATACGTCGCGCTGAAGATTGTGTGCAAGCAAATTGTGGGTACATTGAACATCTTCTATGAAAATCAGCAGTTATCAAAAGGTGGTTCCTTGCACGGTTGAGGTAAGTCAGATTTTAAAATTACACTAGAAAGGCAGGCAAAGTGCGCTTTCGCGGAGTTTGACCATTCTCTCGGGTCTTCGGCCCTCAGCGCGGCCCGAGCACCTCTCCACGGTGCTTTCCTCGCTGGTTAGTAGATATAACTTTTTTTGAAACACCCTGTACTTTGGTTTTTAAACACCCTGTATATAAAAGAACGTTTTTCCAAAAAAAAGTAGGCCCCGCTCGAGAAAAGAATAAAAAAAGATTCGCTTTGTCCTTAACTCTGAAGTGGATAATTTTGTGGAAAATCCAGTATAAACTTCCAAAAAAGGTATCTGGTTAGTAAATATAAAATTTTTCATCCAAAGACTACGTAGGTAAGGCAGAAATGGTAAAAAATAAGTTAATAAATATACAAATTTTCATTAAAAGACTGTAGTAAATAAAGACACAGTTAAAAGTGAAAAGAAAAAAAACTGCCCATAATTCAGACCTGGGTCAATTTTGTGGAACATCTTGTTACATTATACTCAACACAAGTCGGTGTATTTACCTCATTTTGACATAACGGACATGTGGCAAAAATGTTTGACATAAGTTCGTTAACATCCTGTAGAGATATGATCTTATGGACTTTAATGATAAGGAGCCAGTACAATCTTTCTTTGCATCGCTGTTCAAAATCTTGTTCTCGTTGTGGCATGATCCAATTTGTTGTATTGATTCAATCCAAAATATTTGCATAATAGTTTTCGTCTTTTTTATCTTCTCTCCTTATTAATAGGAGGATAGCCGAATCAGTAATTTTTTATTTAGGACCATATTAATGACTAATTTTTCTTTGTATACGTCAAACTTTTAAATTGTTTTCAGAAAATAAAACAGTATAACTTTTTGTATAAAAACCTTTTTCATTGTAGATATTTTTGAGAAGCTGTTATTTTAATTTGTTTTTGGTATAAACGCTTCACCCCGTACGTGTTCATTCAAGTCTGGCGCCTTACGTGGGGCAAAAATAAAATCGTATAAAACCGGTGTTGCGGAAGTAATATGAACTTAAGGCTTAAACATGACGAATTAAGGTAGGCGATGTTTGCACGAAAATTCTCTTCCCTCCCCTTTGAACTGTCCAACGTTGAGCAAATATAATGAATTATCAGAAAATCTGGCGGATGCAGCAGAACGCAATCCTAATGCTGACTGATGCCTGAGAAAATCCGAAATGTATCACCACCTCGCCAATTGCTGTCGCTGAGGATTCTGGGGATATAAATTTCGCAGCAAGTCTCCAGCTGTTCCTCTTATTGCTGCCAATAACTCAGGAAAAGGACGCTTTCCGTTACTTTGCTGGCTAGTCCGAAGTGATGAATTTTTTACAAACGCGGAACGAGATTACCAACGGTGCAGTATTCTGAAATTGTGAGATGCATCCGAATTTTCAGTTTTCTGATCAAAAAGAACTTTAATTTATTTTTGTTTTACTTTTTGTTGTTTTTATGGAGAGTCATATTCTAAAGTCCAACAGATACATGCTGTAACTTTGAGAGGGGGTCATATTTTTACAGAGGCTTCCTTTGACCTTTTTTTTCAAAATTCATCGTGAAAACTGAATTATTTTCTATCCTTTTTTTTTCGTAATTTTCTTATCCCGTCGCTAAACAAGCTAGTATAACTTCAAACTACGGCGAGCTTTAGTCGCAGAGCATGCGCAGTTAGGAACTGAGCTGTGCATTGTTGTCAAATCTTATTTTTAAAGGAGTTAATAAAAAGCAAATTTCCACATGACTCGCCGTGAGATTTGGCACGTTACTTTTGTTGAGGGGGTGTTCGCCGTTTAATTCTTTTAAATAATACAAAGTATATCAATATGTATCAACAATTTTTCAACGGTAAAAGTTGGAAAGCTTGTTTTCCAACAAACACTTTTTTAGACCGCTTACGTACTTTGTTAAAAACATTATTTCATTCTAAAAAAACACACAAAGATACCAAACACAACAGTAATGAGTTCATTCTCAGTTGTTTCAGTTATCACGTTCCCACGAATCATTAACCGAGCAATTCGCGATCCCCGAGCAAACGCCTTTCTACCGCTTTATGCCTCTGTTCGTATCCAATTTTAACAATTACTTTTTCATTAGCAAACGATCTAAATCCCGCCGAAGAAACCTACTACCCGGGGCGAAGACAAATACAAATGCAGTCTCTGATCCCGGTCGCGTTCCCAGTCATTAAGCGAACAACTTACGCTAATGCGATTTCGCTCTCGCTCCTCGTCGACCCGCAATCCATCGATTCCCTCAGGCGGGTGTGCTTGTTCCTGGCTTTGATGTGCGGCCGCAACTTCGTTAGTGATATCACCTCTGATAGCAGAGTCGCGCTCGACGACGCGCGCGTCGCCATCGGCAGGCTGGTGTTGGATCCTGAAACAAGAAGATAATTTACTCGAGATGATGGCATCGCATCGCACGTGGCTGAGCCTGCTTACATTATGGTCGTCCTCTAACTTTTAGCACTGGAAATGTTTATATACTTATACATTGAGTGAGTCATTTATTCAGTCAATTATTCCGGAAGAGGTAATTTCGTGCAAAAAAACCTTAATAAAAGGTGTTCGGTTTGTTGGGGGTAGGCTTGTGATGAACTTGACCCATCAAGGTTATTTGAAAGTCAAGTTAATTTTTTTAAATAGAGATGTCTATTTTTCACTTCAGAATTGAAAGGAGCGGACAATTTTACGTCGGTTTTTGGTGAGAGTGACCTTTAAAGATCATCCCAAGGTCAACTTCATAACATCTCATTTATAATTCAAAAGAATAAAGAAATGTTAACAGTGGTTCTGGTTAGAATCATCTGCTTCTGAGGTTGCGAACTTATGACCCTCGATTTAACCTTGACCTTTTCAAGGTCATTTTGAATGACAACTCATTTTTTGTAACAGAAAATACTATTTTTACTTCAGAAATGAAAATAAAGGAAAATTTTACGTCAAAATTCGGTTCGGTTCGGTTTTTGGTAAAAGTGACCTTTGAAGATCATCCCAAGGTCGAATCTTTGTCTCTTTTGTAAGTCGAAATAGTAAAAAACAACAACCCAAACAGATCTTGACTTTTCTTTATTATTCTTTACTAGATCGACCTTGTGATCTTCTAAGGTCACTTCCACCAAAAATTAACTATATATTCTGACGTAAAATTTCCCTTTATTTTCAAGTCTGAAGTAGAAATAGTCGTTTCTGATACAAAAAATTGAGTTACTATTAAAAATGACCCTGAAAAAAGAGTCAAGGACAAATCCAAGGTCAAACCCAAGATCGTAAGTTCACAACCTTTGCAGCAGATGATTCTAGCCAGAATCACTATTAACAATTCTTTATTCTTCTGAATTATAAATATCATGAAAAATTGACCTTGAGATGATCCTCAAAGGTCACTTTCACAAAAACCAAACTATGTATTCCGACGTAAAAATTTTGCACACTTTTGACTACTGAAGTGAAAAATAGACGTTTTTATTAAAAAAAATAACTTGACCTTCAAATGACCTTGATAATACGGGTCAAGGTCAAATCCAAGGTCTTCACGCGGCGACCCCCCCAATAAACCGAACAACTTTTGTTAAGGTTTACTTTCACGAAATGACCCCCCCCCCTCCGAAATAATTGGATAATAATTGACTAGTGAATAAATAATCGGTCGCGACCGCTGGGCGCAGGTGTGGTCCGATCGGAGAGCTTTTGATGTCGCTGTATAGGTTGGACTTTTCTGCGTCGAATATAAGTGGTCCCAGTATTACTTAGTAACGTAAAATTGAAGTACTAATTTTTCTTTTTCTACAAAAGACGGAACAAAAAAGCGGGTGCTCGCTATCTACGGCTATTTCTTATGTAGGGGATAAATCCAGAGGTTCTCAATAAGTTTTAACAATTTTGATTACTATTAATTTTATGCACTGTTTTGTAGTTTCAAAGGTTTTTTTTATTAAATGCTTATTCTTATTATTAACGCATTTTTCTCCTCACCATTAAATAATTTGTGTATAAGTTTATAAATACCATACTTGTTGCTCTGGGAATTTATATTTTTTAATATGGTCTTGACGAACTTGCTTATGTGCTGATAAGGGAAGTGGCAACACCGAACACTTACTGTGATGTGTCATTCCCTATCATCGCCAGCGGTTGTCAATATGTTCGTACTGTTTTAATTACGTGAGTATTTGTCTTTAAAAAACTATTTCCAATTCCGTAAACCCCTTTATAAATACTAATAAGTAATACTACTAATTTCCAATAAAGTACGTAATCATTATTAACTTTAAGATATTTGAAAATATATCGATTGTCCGCATTTCACATCCACCTTAATTGCGGCAAACCCAGGAACCCGCAAATAAGCAGAAGATAAATACGAACAAGACAATAAAACAGTCGAACAACCCGCATTTCCAATTTATGCCCTTTCTTTTACAACAATCGCAGAAACAAAAGTAATTATTACTTCACACAGAATCATTACGTCCTGAAACGTAGCGAGAAACCCATTTAAATTTAAAGAAACCTGGTCTCTAATCTGTCCTCCTGCGAGGACTTTGTTCGCGGATTGTAATTCGCACCGGAATAATATAATGAATTCGCAAGAAACGTTCGCGAGACGCTCAAAATAATAGGGAGAAGATTAATGGCTGATAATTAAATGTAAACAAATGGCTTTAATTAAAATTAAAATAATCGGAGCCTTGAAATTGCTGTGAAATAACATAATTAATGCATATGAATTAATTAATGGATGTGTTGCAATTATCCCGAAGTTGGTGAATTACAGGGATGCAGCGCGAAGGGGAAGGGAATAAAGCGTCTAATTTTCGAAATGCCCTTTCATTTCAATAATATTATCAAAGTCTCCTTGTCAATACACAAAATGTAAACGGGAGTTTTGTACTTTGTTAAAAATGTTAAAACATTATGGTCCCACAAAGGATTGTTTCGTTGGGTGTTCCTCAGGGAAGCGTTTTGGGTCCAACTTTACTTGCAATTTTTATCAATTATTTAGAAGAACATTTTAATACTGGCTGCTTGTCTTTTTTTGCTGATAATACAATCGTTGGTTCTAAAGCAAATAATGTAAAAATCTCATTTATTTGCCTAGAGTGGTATCTTGTTCTCCTCGCTCACCAGATTTGAATCTATTTCTATTTATAAACTTAGTTAGAATATTAAAAAAATCTGGTGTATGGAACATTGGAAATGGTCTGCAAATGAAACCAAAACATGTCTGATTTCTAACTCACCTTTGGGATCAGCTAATGAGTCCTGATCCTCAGCCTTAGCCACGTGGTATTTCCTGTACCGAAATAAATACTGGGCCCCCAGCAAAGCCGTGGCTATTAGTAGACCGCTAAGAAAAAAAATCGCCGCTATATGGACCGCCGTCAGCTTTAACGTCACCGCCTTCATTGCTCCCACGCTTTGGGCCACTACGATGCTGGTAATGTTGGGTTTGATGTTTCCTGGAAAAGAAAATGTAAACATTTGTAGCAAGGGTACCAGCAGCAAATTCGAAAGAGAAAGGCTCGTTTGGGTGCACGATCTTGGAGCTTTGAGCATCTATACTTTCCTGATCTATCACTAATTGAACTGATGACTGATTACGAATTTTCAATGATGGAATTGTAAAAGCTGCCAGGTTATGTAATCCCAGCTTCTTTGATCTACATTTTAACAATCTAAAAACTAGTAACTTCGCTTTAAAAATTAATATTATTAGGGCTGTCTGAACTGAGTCGCGGGACGTAGGCGTACGCATTATTTATTAAAGAGCAACAAATTAAATTTTCTAAAATACACCACCATAAACACCAATGGATAGGAATTAATTACGATGACAAAGGCAACAGTATACTAACGTGACATGAACGTGAAAAGCATTCTGAGGCAGCGGCTCGCGCATGTCTTGGTTGATCCACTTGACACGCCATTTAATTGCGGCTCTCTCCGACAGCTTTAATTATGATTCAAAATAGAGGATTTGAAAAAAATATATTTTTATTGTGGCCCCCAATAAAGAAAATTGTTTATGTGAGGGAATAAAATATATTAGAAGCCATAAACAAATATAAAATATGGGAACATCGACATACAAGAATGTAATAAAAACAGGCTAAAGACCGTTATTTGAGATATAAACTGTCCTCACAGACCCACAAAAAATGTACCGGATAAATTTTTTTACATGTTTTTCCTCTTTTATGCCTCTAGTAATGTCCCCTTATATTTTTTTTGTAGTAGAAATAAAAAATGTCAATCAAAAACAGCTGTAGGTATTGTAATATCAGAATAAATAAACAAGTAATGTCAATAGTAAGCAACGATCGTTTCCCCACATATACAAGATGTCCGCGGGATAAGTATATGATCAATATGTAACAGAATACAGGAAAGTAAACATAAAAGTTTTTTGCGACATTGGTCCTAAGTCTCTCCAGTTTCTTTAAATATTAAAAAGAGGCCTAGAGAGTTGTGTTGTTATTAGTTTTCAATCAGATAAATTTTATAAATCTCCGGGGATTCCTCAAAGGTCAGTTCATGGGCCAGTCTTCTCTGTAGTTTTTATTATTGATCTAAATAAATGCCTTAATGTCAATTATTTGCTCGACGCGGACAATTTCAAGTTGTTTTTGACAGATTGCAAGAATATCTTGACCAATTGGAAGAAAAGGTAAAATTATGTCCTACTGTCGATGCAAAACCACTCCAGATTTTGATTACAAAATTGGTGAACGTTTTTTGAAAAGAATTCCAATTTTTTTATTACATTTGTTGCTAAATTATCGCTTGTCGAGCAAATTCGCTAATTTTTTTAACTTAGACTTTATTTTCCATAGTTCTAAAGACTTTTACAATATAGAAAATTTAAATATAATTTCACGCGTTTCAAACAGTATGCGTATATTGTTTGGAGTCCCATTTATAAAATTTTCAATATCCCATAAGAAAAAGAGACATATAAAGACTTTATACATTTCATTAGTTCGTGGTAAATTTGATTTTTAATCTTTGTAGCTGTCAAATTACATTTTTCCTTTTTAATATTGTCAATAATACATTAAATTTAATCAGCACTTATACTATGAACATCTTGTACAACAAAAATGTCCCTGAAATAAAAAATACTAAAAAAGTTTTCCCAACAACTGCGCTGGAAGATAATGGCATGAGTTTCCAGGGATGCCTGTAAAGTTTCAACGCTTCCCGGAGGCAATCAAGAAGCAATGTTAGTCTTACTTCTCGAGTTAATTTTTAAAGTTTTAAGTACGAAATATAACCAAATAAAAATATAATTAAAACCATCAAACTAATTCCACCTTTCGCTAAAAAAAATTGTAAATAAATCAATTTCCACATACTTATCTGACTCGCGTGTGCCAAGAATCCTCCTCCGCAGATTTGCCTTGCTGACAAATTTTCATCGGAGAAGTATTCCAACAGTAAATTGGGCCCTGTGGAGTTGACCACGGACCTGGAGACATCGTGGCCACCTGATAAGTCCGCTAGGAGGTTGGAGGACAACGCATTGCCGTCGCGGATCTTCAGCCATTGGTTTCCGCAGGGTAAGTGGAACTGGTCTACCTTAAATTGGATGACGAAGTCTTCGTCGGCCTAAAAAATAATGGGGAAGCTAAGAGAAGCACTGTCGGTTCAATATAGGTTATTTTTGTCATGAAAATTGATGTCTTGTGTTGTGCAGAAAGAGCTTTGGAGTTCTGAAACTGATTTTGCACAACATCACGAATTTGGTCTAAGATAATTGGCAGTACATCCCCTGGGTCGACGGTTGAACGCGCTCCTTGTAGATTCCGCGAGCTTGCCTTCTTGGCACATCGCTTGGTGGCGATCGAAACTGGTGTCAGATTTTTTTGCCTTCAGGCCCTTCTGTCTGCGTCGTTATACTAGCTTTGACACCTCTTTTCTAGTCTCAGGAGTATGAGAAATGCTGCCTTAGGCAGTGTAGAAAACCCAACCAGTACGGCGACTTGGCTTAATTCGAAAGTATAGCGAAAATTTGTATTCTTCCACTGTTGTATCGCAGACTGCCTTAGTGGTCGTCGATAGCTTGAAATAGACTTAAGACAGTGGATGCAAATTTTGTGAAAATTCGATAGTTTAGTAAAAATTATCGAAAGGTAGACGGTTTTTGAGGTTGCTGTGGCTAGTGCTGTTACATGATTTAATACAACAGAAATTGTTTATTGTATAGTCGTCCATATATCAAATTAAAAATATATAAGAGGTACAGGGTGTTAAATGTAAAATATTATTTCAGTAGTTTTTTTAATTTATTCCTTACCAAATGCAAATATCCTCACAAAATTTTGGGGATTGGAGTTCTTTGAGTAGAGGAATTGAAATCTGTTCACATTTTGGTTAAAGTTCATAGAGGGCGCTAGCTGCAGTAGATTGAATGTGTTAAAAACGACATAACTTTTTTGTACTTTAAGGTATCTCATCTTTGGTAACCAATTCTTATTTTTCAACTTTTTTACACAAAAAGGTATATTTTTGTGTAAACGGTTACTTTCATAAAGTCTACCTTTTTTGTGTAAAAAAAGTTGGAAAATAAGAATTTGATACCAAAGATGAGATACCTCTAAGTACAAAAAAGTTATGTCGTTTCCAACACCTTCAATCTACGGCAGCTGGCGCCCTCTATGAACTGTAGCCAAAATGTGAACAAATTTCAATTCTTCTATCCAAAGAATCCCAAACCCCAAAATTTTGTGCAGACATTTGTATTTATTAACAAATAAATGGAAATATACTAAAATAATATTTTACATTTAACACCCTGTATCTCTTTAACTATCAACTTTTGGATTAAGGTAAGTTCGGCTAAATCGCAATATTTTTGCTTCGAGCCATGAATTTTGGCCCATTATCTCGGGACCAAAATTATTTTAATTCGAATATTTTACAAATTTCTTTTAAAGAACTAACCATTTTTTGATTACTTCTTTTCTATTCATTCCAATAAAATCATTAAAATATTCTACGAATTCTGATATGTAATTTTAATAACATACAAATATATCAATAGGTATCAAATCTATGTGTATTCTTCCTCTTATATTCCCGTGCACTTAGTGACATGAAACTTTGCAGGAATTTTGTCAGACGAGGAGAAATTATCCTTCAAAGTGCACCGGCTCGAAATTTGCATCGTCACGTACCAGCCATTCGTTATCGAGTGGTCTGGGTGGGATTGAAACCAAACCTGAATCGGGAGCCGCACTTTTACCATCCTGGCGAGGTGGAACTCGTTATAAAGAGGTTTGGGGAATTGAAATTCCCTGGATATCGTCGCGTTTTTACGAACTTTGGATTCTCTAGATCATGAGGTTTTGATAATATAACATTTTAGGGAAAATTCCCTGACATACGTTTTCAGCAAAGTCCTGATAAGAAAGTTTTAATTTCTACGACGACGGTATTGACGCTTCCTCGAGTTTCTTACAATGATACTACTCCTTGTGGCGCAAAATTTTGATGAATGAATGACATATTTTACGAGAGCAAAAATCTAACACCAGATTTTCAATTGGAAACTTCCGCGAATAATACAGCCCCACAAAAAAAAATTCTGTGCATCGGACTAGACCACTATATCTTTATAGTCCAGACGGTATCTGTTTCAAAGAGTCCATATTTGGGTGAATCGTATATCCACGGAGATTTTTGGATTTTTGACTTTCAAATAACACTAGGAATGAAAATTTTTCTATGCGCATAAAAAAACGTGGGCTTAACTTTTGGCGGCACAATATGTTAAAAAAAATTCCAAAAATGTCATGTTTTTCTTCATGTATCTTTTCAAGAGTTGATTTTAGGTTAAAATGGAAGAGGAAAAAAATTTTTGTAATTAAATTTTACAAAATATGACTAGTTACAAATGAATCATGATTATTATTGTAAAAATCGAAAAAATCGCCAAAAATTGGGTTAAGAAACATTATTTTTTAGGGATTTTTTTTGGGGTTTTTAAGTTGGGTATAGGACCTTCATACTTGGCTGAAGAAAAGTTCATGTTATGTAAAATCATCATACCAAATTTCATCAAAATCGGTTCTACAGATTTTGCATAATAATTTTGCAATCCAGATTTTGAAAAAAAAATTTGCAAATTTTCAAAATTTTGCACAGCAAAAACCAAGGCCCTTAGGCACTTGAAAATTTAGTCACACATAGAAGGGCTCTCAAGCTTTCAAACGCTTTTTGAAAAATTCGAATCCATCAATTAGGAGAGCTCTGGCTCTTGTTTATACATTGGTCGAATTTTTGTGCTATAATTTTGTATTTTTGTGATATAATGAGTTTAATTACTCATTTGCTTATATTTTAAACAGTAAATAATCGCAAGACATCGATTTAAAAGGAAAATCATAAAAATCGGACCTCTAGATGCTGAGATATTAAAAATTTTTAAGCGCGTCGCCGTTTGGAACTCGCCGATTGACTTTCGAGCAGGCCGGAGCGGTCGCGCTCTCTGCTTCCCCCACCACCACCACCCGTACGATTTTCTTGAATTTCTCGCTTGCATAAACTTTAAATTTGTTTTAAAGTAGGTTGCCAATGAAGAAAAGTATTGTAAACTTAGACCTGGTAAGGACTCGAAATACCAAAAGTATTTTTCGGAAAATTAGCCCGGATGTCCCAGTATATTTAGTGTAAATGACGGTTAACTTTTATCGGCTATAATTACGTAACTAATTGACCAACCGATCTGTTTTTTTTAAAAGCTTCTTTCCAATAACTTAAAACCTGCTTCCAATAACTTAAAACCTGCTTTAAAAAATTTAAATTTAAAATTAGTAATTAATTATTTAATATGATAACCAGGGTTGCCTCCACTATAGGGGGTTTTTCTCGGTTTGACCGTAAAATGACCTTTAACCTGACCCGACAAGGTCAAACGGACCTTGTATTCGGACTCAGGGACCTCGAAAACATGAGGATATAGTGCTCTAGTCCGATGCACATTAACTTTTTTCTGGGGTTGTGTAATCATTGTGGTTCGTAAGTGAACCGTACATGGCATAAACGCCAGGGGCGGATTCAGTACACCACATCACAGAAATTTTTCTAACAATACGAGCAGCATGAGTTAAAAAAAATTTGCAGAAAATATTATTTATGATCGCCAGTAAGATTTATAAACCCCTTCCCCCACTTGCGATGGTGCTACCTAGAAAATGTACCCACACCCCGTTTATTACACGCAGTTGAAAGATAGAGAGGCAGGTACATTTCCTTTGTAATGCGAACAGGAACGGCAAAGGAAAAAGTTTATAAAACAGCTTTTAAAGATTCATTTTTTTACTTGTGACTTGTCACTTAGTGATGCGTTCTCAATACAAGGTGTTTCTGCAATAAGTGCGTTCCATGAAAAGGGTGATAATTAGAAAAGAAAGAATAGACCAATTAGCTGTTTTTTCGGCCAATTTTCCAAGCAATTAAGAAGATATTAAATGAGATTGACTAATCCGCCCCGCAATTGCTACACGGAGTCACTAGAGGAAGGCTAAGATTACTTGTAAGTAAGTTTAGTTTCAGAATTATTTATATAAATGTAAGTCTAGTCTAGTCTAGTATAGTTATACCAAAGCGTCTCGATATTCAGGTCCCCGCCAATAAGATAAGGACAAAAACTTCCGGACCCAAGAAATGGGCGTGTCGAAGCGAGGTGTCGAATTCAGAAAAGATCTCGAAAAGGCAGTACTTCCTTAAGTTCCACATTGAGCAGTCGACTTAGTTTTAGAGTCTCGAGCTAGTTAATTAAATTTAAAAATGGATAAAGTTTTTTTTCCAAATTTTGCTATGGAGAGCGCATTTCTCATTCTCGGTACGCTGTCGCGTGTCACTAAAGTAATTAATAATGTTGTTCGAGCCATTGTGTTGTTATTTTGTTTGTTTGTTTTGTTTATTGTTTTTAAAACCCTTTCTGAAAGTTTTGGTGTTTCCTTTTGTTTCTCTCAACTTTAGTGTCACCCTGTACAGCCAGTCACTGGATTACATTCTACGTAAGTAATGGATGGTAAGTGCTTGAAATTCATTCTCTGAACATACAACATTTCTAAGTTCCCACGTATTAATTAAAGTTTAATGATAATTATAAACTCCCTTTCGAGAATTGAATAGTAAACTCTTTTGAAATCCAGACTCGTTATGATACAGGTCACAACGGTAAATAGATACTTAAAGAAATAACACCTCAGGTTACAATATACAAAGTGTTCAGGTATTAAATAACAATGAGTTTCAGCCCCGTGTGGAATTTGGCCCGTGGTTTCGACGTCAAATAGCACAAGATCCGGATTTTACAAGCAAGGCGCTTTTGACGGATGAATATTGTTTAATTGGAGACGGCATATTAAATTTTTACAACATTCAGTACTGGTGTGAACTTTGAACAATTTTTGTAGAGCATATTGTCTATTGGTAAGTAATTCGTTTATTCGTTTAATTTTTGTGTTACCTTTAAACGATATTTAAATGAATTTCAGTATTTTTTAACACAAAATATAAAGTAGCTTGTTCAACGCCATCACAGAAAGATAACTATTTATCTTCCATAAAATTGCGTTATTTTCATTCCCACTTGTTTAGTGTTAAAATTTCGAATCAAGAAACCCTGTTTTTCACAAAGTCCAACCCTGGATTGTACGGATGACCTGCGGACCTTACTAATTTATCAAGAAAAGGGTATAAATACCTGGATTAACCAGAAGGTTCTACCAGGACAACTTTGCGCCGACGTCGCCAGCAGCCTCTTGGGCTTGGCCTGACCCAGGTGAACGACACAACCGCATCTGCAGTAAGGCCCCACTTCGGCGATTACTTCTGGGGCTTCAGCAGCAGACTCTCCCACAAAAGCCCCGTTGCCGTAAAAACACTCCCAGCCACTCCCAATGTTCGTCCCACATTTCTCCGTCTCCACAGCAGGACCCTGTAAAAAATAAGTCCAGTTCTCTTAATTAATGGCCAGTTGGATTTACTTAGGAAGTAATTGGAGCAACTGTAAGAACTTAGTACTGATGAGGACTAATAACTCTGAAGAATCGCAATGTGAAAGGTGTACTTCTCACTGTTTTATGTCTTTGTGTATAGGAAAAGGCGAGGAATCGAGATAGCCGGGTACAAATCCATTTTTTATGTGTTATTGGAACAAGAAGTTGTCTAAGGGCGAACCTTACAGTTTATTTGGATGTGGGGGGGCCGTTCCGGCTTTAGGTGGATTTCTGCTGACAGGAATATAAAGGGATATGTTGGAGGTGAAATGGTTATTCTCGAGAAATAGAATTCAACGGATTTTCGGTTTTTATAAACAGGCCATATTTTATGTATCGTGTAAAAAGTCTCATGGAAAGCGTCAGCAATCCAGAACATTTCTGGAACAGAATTGTCTTTCCCAATCCAGCTAATTCCGCGAATAATTGCTGCCGCAGAGGAGTTTCGGCGTGAAATTCATTATTAACACGGTCTTTATTAATCCACGGCGCAGATTTTAATTGTTTCTGAATATTTAGTACTGGCTTGTTATGATTTAAATCATTCAGGATCGCTTGTTCCAACCGGCAACATATTAAATTACGGTGTAAGGAATAACAAGCGAATTACACCAATTTTGTACGAGGCATTTCTCATTACCTCACAATTTCGCTATTAAGAGAGAAGTTTGACAAACTGAAATTGAAAATTCACAACCAGCGTGTGTACTTTGGATTTTAATACTCTTGCGACGAATCCCAACAGGTGCTTTTCATTTTAAATTGATTGATTCACGAAATTAATTACAACATATCAACTCAAAGAAATCTTCTTCGTATATTTAAGTTTTCGCTACACATTTAAGCATTTCCCTCTGGAGGAGGCTGCTCTTCCTTTTCACCGTCTTCTGCAACAGGAGATTCCGCACCTTCCTTCTGCTCAGGCTGAGCGACTACTTCCGAGGTAACCCTCGAGACAGTCTCAGTAACACTCTTCTGGTCTTCGTCCTCCTCTACCGCAAATATATCAAATTCTCTACTGGCCTCGGACTGTTCCTCGGGAACTATCTCTGATTCGTCGAAGAACAATACCGATGGAAGTTTCTCCTCTAAATCTTTTAATTCTTCTCCTACTTCCGACTCGTCGTCGTCGTACGAAGTGATCGACTTCTTAGCAGTTCGTTGTCCCTCATCTTGAAGGAACCGTTCGAAACTGGTGGTCGTCTGACTCTCCATGTGTCTCTTTGTGGGGACCTTAGATCTTATTTCGACGACTTTAGGCACGAAACCTAGATCTCCTCGAGTGTAAGTTGCTTCTATGGAATCGACAGTCTCCAGAGAGGGCCGTCTGATTTTCTCGTCCTTCGCGGTGCTCAGTAAAGTGAACAGTGTGTTGAGGAGATTCTCCCTCTTAGTCGATCTGATCGATACGTCGCTTTCTGCACCGAGACACATAGCCTCTTTGATGCGTTGCACCCCTTCTAGCAAAATCTCCGTGAGACGTTCGTTCTCTTCTTTCAGGTACATCACATCCGTTTGTATCGAGTTTCTGTTGCATCGAACATTGTGCAAATTTTGTTCTAAAATTTTTATCTTGAATTCCAACTGTTTGTTCTGGTTGACGATTTCCTTCATCTCATTTCTGCTGGTGTACACTTCTTGCTCGTACCGCTTGTACTTTTTGATTTGATCAGCCATAAAGTTGTGGTCGTCTGTCAGTCTTTCTATGACCTTCAGTTGCACTTTCACTTTCCCCAGCGCCTTTTTCTTTTCGCCTTCCAGCAACTCGATCTGCTGCTTGAAATGGGTGTCTTTCTTCCGCAAGCCGTTGTTATCGTCGTACAGGTGTTGTTGCGTCGTCAGCAAAATGTCTAACTCGTTGTTAATTGCTATATTTTCTCTGATCACTCGGTGTGTGGTGGCCGCTATTCTCAGTTCCGTAGCGTCTTGGAATTCGGTGGAGAGTTGGAGGAGTTTGGCCTCCATGTCCTTCTTCAGCTGGTCCTTCTTGATGATGAACTTCCTCTCTATTTCGTACAGCTGTCTTTTGTGGCGTTTCTCTTGGTCTTCCATGGCTACTTCTTGGATTTCGTATTTCTTCATGAGGTCGTCCCTTTGGATGCGGAATTCCTCCAAAGAGTTCAACTTTCCTTAAAAAAAATAAAATCACTATATAAGGATATTTTTAATGTGCCTAACATAAATGTAGTTCATGAAAATATAATACCTTCTAGAAGCTTTACTTCCGAAGTTAGCTGCTCGTGCATCTCTGTGTATTCCGCCTTCATTTCTGAGATCTTCTGTTCGTATTGTTCAGTGGACACTTGCATGTTGTCATCTGCCCCCTTTATTCTTTCCTCCAGCTCCTTAGTCTCGTCCACTTTTTCCTGGAGGCTCCTCTTAAGGAAAATGATGATATCTGATCTATCCTCATCAATTTTCTCCACCTGTTGTTTTAATTCCTCGTTGCTCTCCTCCAACTCCTGCGTCAAACTTCTTAACCTGGCTAGTTTGCGATTCAAATCGGCTATCGTCAGTTCGTAGAAAGTCTTGTCCACTTCATTCAGGGCATTGGGGTCGATCACCACCTCTTTCTTCTTTTTCCCTTTTTTTCCTTTCTTGGGCGGCATTTCAAACGGACTTTAACACTATCACACGTAAAATAAAACGGAGTACTTCAAACTTCGAATTTGTTACGTTTCCTAGGATACCGGTTATCGATTTGCAGTTTGGCAGTAGCGTAGTTGGAGACGGCCTCGCAAGTTTTAAATGTCCTACCTGCAAACTTGGGAATAACCGGAAAAGTTGGCAGAAGTTCGGGACGGATTTATTTGATGTAATGAAGTTCTGATGGACTGTAATAGTTTGGAGAGGATGACATTCATAGATGGATGTGTCAGTAAAGACAATAATTGAAATCCTGCTTTGGCACATACTCTACAGGGTGTCCGTTAAAGAATGCGTCAAAATTAATGGGGAAAAGTCTTATACAATGTTGCTCACAAACTCCTAGTTTTCGAGATACAGGGTGTTGATGTTGAAAAAATTAAGAACATTTTCTTTAATATTCCTTGGTAAAGTGGTAAAGTTTGACCATTCTTTAACGGACACCCTGTACAGCTCTGTTTATATCCGAGAAAGTATAATTGAGACAAAATGTACTGAAATTAATAGACCAGTCGGGTTGTCATTTAACCGGGAAAAAATTAAGGACCACAATTTTATTGTTCTAACCTTTAGGGGGGGGGGGGGGTCAATAGTAGTGTGAATTCAGAATCGCGACTGAATTCCACCCCTGCGTCAGCCGCCATCTTGAATTTAAGGAAAAATAGTTTTTGCCCAATATCTCGGCCATTTTCAACTTTACAACAAAAATGGTAAGGACTTAAGTTGTTGCAAATGCGATTTTCTACAACTTCTTTTATTACAAATTTTATCGTGCGATCGATATTTTTCAAGTTAAGGGGGAAAATAGTGACAAAGTATAATTATTGAATTATCTCGTTTGTTATTGACTTTACGACATAAATGTACATAAACAAAGTTGGAAAGAATTATATTTCCTACAATTTTTATCTCTTTGATTTTTTCGCTATAACCAATATTTAAGGTCCTACGCTTGCGGTAAAGACGCGAGCGTAGGACCTTGCGGGAGTTGATTTCAAAGGAATTGTTTTTGCTCAATATCTCGGCCATTTTCAACTTTACAACAAAAATGGTAAGGACTTAAGTTGTTGAAAATGCGATTTTATACAACTTCTTTCCTTACAAATTTTATCGTGCCATCGATATTTTTCAAGTTAAAGGGGAAAATAATGACAAAGTATATTTATTGAATTATCTCGTTTGTTATTGACTTTACGACATAAATGTACATAAATAAAGTTGGAAAGAATTATATTTTCTACAATTTTGATCTCTTTGATTTTTTTGCTACTACCAAAATTTAAGGTCCTACGCCTATGGCAATCCTAACTAAACTCAAGGGATCAACATTCCATAGGCCTGACATCAAAATTGTAGAAAATATAATTCTTTCCAACTTTGTTTATGTACATTTATGTCGTATAGTCAATAACAAACGAGATAATTCAATAATTATACTTTGTCACTATTTTCCCCCTTAACTTGAAAAATATCGATCGCACCATAAAATTTGTAATTAAAGAAGTTGTAGGAAATCGCATTTGCAACAACTTAAGTCCTTACCATTTTTGTTGTAAAGTTGAAAATGGCCGAGATATTGAGCACAAACGATTTTTCCTTAAATTCAAGATGGCGGCTGACGCAGGTGTGGAATTCATCGCGATTCTGAATTTACACTACTATTGACCCCCCCTAAAGGTTAGAACAATAAAATTGTGGTCCCTAATTTTTTCCCGGTTAAGCCCTTTTTTTGTCTATCGCGACTGGAGTATAAGGATTTTTAATAGAACACATCTTTTTTTTCAACTGACAATTTAAAGATGACATTAAAATATTGACATATGAACACATTTAAAAAATAAATCATAAATTTTTTGCTAACCAGCTGTAAAAAGGGCAACCACTAGATTTTCGCCGCATAATATATTCTGATGTTTCAATGGAAAGCAAACCCACCGGGCTCTATTCCCTGTGCAGATAATGCCAAACAAAAAATCTTACCTCGCAAAACTTGACTCCATATCTGGGAGGTGGAGAGTCACAAAAACGATAGCGACTTCTCGTCCCTCCTATGCAGGTGCTCGAGCACTGGGTCCAAGCACTCCAGGGACCCCAGCTACCGCTCTCCTGGTCTGAAACAGGAGGTTGCGTTAGTGGAGAGTTTTTTGGAGCGTATGAAACGCCCCATAGAAAAGAAATTAAGCTGTGGCGAATACAGTAAGTGGATCTTAAAATATATCCGTGTTTCAGTTTAAAGAAAAAATGCGGAGCAAAACATCCTCCAAAATTATCGTCACTTATCGCGCGCGGCACTGTAAAATATAAAGCAGTTAATGGTCTACCTTTTATGCACCCTCTCACTGGGATTCAGTCCAGACTACATAAACCTAATCAGCTCGGAATGTAATCTTTTATCTTCTCTTTAACAATTCAAATCAGTCAAAAGGGACACATCTACATAGTAGTTGGATTTTAGACAAATTCAGTCGTTTACAGTTGTTTTTGCATTTAAAGCTCGTGGAAAGCTGCATTTTATTGCGTTTCAGCAGAGACAATAGGGATAATCCTTAAAAAAAAATGCAGGCACCTATTATTTGGTGACTACAGCTTTCATTATAAATAAAGGAATATTTTAAAAGTATGTTGGAGTTTTTAATCAATACAGTAAATAGAGGTAAGTATTGGGAACGTTCTATCCAAATATGTAAAATTATACAGGGTGTTCCATTTAAATTAACAAAGTCTGTATTTGTTTTTCTACTATCATTTTTTTCAAAAAATTCATAAAAAATCGTGCATCTTTTGTATTTCACATTTTCTTATAACTCTTAAAACAAAAAAGTTAAAGGGGGGTCAAAATATAGTAAATCACCCTGTAGATAGAGGGAAATATAAGAATATAACTACAAGCTTTTTTCTGTGATTAAAGAAATCGACTTATGTTTCAATGTCAATGTCACCGACACAAAACATTTGTGAGAAAGGCTTTCTCGAACCTCGAATAGGTCGATAAAAAGACCATCTGTCCAGCTTAGATGATGCATTGCCTTTGTAGCAATAAAACGGACCTAACCTGGAATTTTTCCACTTCAGTTTTTCTTTCATTAATATCAAATAAAGAGAAGAGGGCTTTATTATGAGTTTCTAATGTTTGAATTGAAACATAAATATGTATTAATGCAATTATAAAAATTTCTGTAACGAACCTAAAAACCAAACAAGAATACCTCAATCGACTATTGCACGAGGCTGCCTATAATACAGAATATTTAAAGATAAATGTAATAGTTGCATGTTTAGACTTCGAAAGGCATTCCATTGTGCCTAAGGAAATTTTTTAAAACGAAAGTTGAATAGTGTAGGTGTTAGGGAGATAGATAAATGGTTACATTTTTAGAAAATTCCGCAGACTGGCTGTTATTCATTCGGAAAAACATAAAGTAAATATTGGAACTTCTCAAAGAAGCGTTATTCCTGCGTTATTATTTTTATCTTTTATAAAAGATTTAAAATATTATCTGTGCGATGATATAGCATTGATGATATTTGCCGACGACAATACCATAAAAAATAAAATTAATACAAAAATAAATTCATACTGAATTCAACTAAAGCAACTTTCTTTCATGTTTTTCATGAACTTTTGATGATGATTACCTTAGAAAACATTGGAGGTTTGAAATATACTTTCATAATGTCAATTTGCCCTGAGTCGTAAAAATTTGGAGCAAAAGAACCTCACACATTCCTAATACTTCCGCCACTGTCATATGAATAAAAATTAAAGGCACTCAAAAGTAGCTAATGTTAATGGTCATACGTGTGCAAAATTTGAGTTCTATATCTCAAAAGGTTCCTGAGATATCGTCAAAAAACTAAAAAAAAAAATATTTTAAGACCCGAAAACGTTGCCTTTGCGGACCCATGTTAACATAATCTCTTTTTCTTAAATTGAGCCAAAGAATCACAACCTCCATTTTCCTACACATATTATATTATACTCTTACAAAATATTACTACTACCAAATTTCTGAAACAAAATGTATGTATTTAATGATACAGGGTGTTCTTTAAGTACGTACCAAACTTTAAGGGGTGATTCTTTGAGTGATTTTAAGATGAAAAAATTTATAAACATTGGGCCGGTGATGCTTCGTTTTGAAGAGACACCCTGTCTCTTCAAAACTTTTTTTAAAAAATAGTTTTTTCGTAAAAAATTTAATAATCCTTTAGCGATTTTGTTGAAATTTGGAAATGTTATTTATGGTAGAAAGGGGTAAGTAGAATAAAATTATTAAGGCCAGTGGCGTACCGGGGGGTACCTTAACCAATATTTCTGACAAAAAAAAAATGTGCGCCACAAACCTTTTTTTAACTTTTATATTTTTTTGCATCTAGCAACTAAAAATACAACTGTTTGTCCCTTGATTTTTTCGTATCTTGCTTCCTTTTTGGAGCACAAAAATAAAAATCACTTTATTGTATGTCCATGAACAATAAAAAAGCACTTTTTAATAATTAATAAAACACAAACGTTTTTTAGCTAGCATTAATTTTTATAACAATTTCTAAGACTATGACAGTTTGGTAGTTTTAATATTTTATTTTGTTGTCTCAAGGACATTGCAATAAAGTGATTTTAATTTTTTTCTCCAAAAAGGAAGCAAGATACGAAAAAAATTCAAGAGACAAAAAAGTTGTATTATTAGTTGCTTAATGCGAAAGATATTATAAAAGTTTTAAAAAGTCAGTGCGCACATTTTTGTCAAAAATATTGGTAAGGCGCCTGAACACCCAATGATAATATTACCGTTTAGTCAGCAATGATTTTCTCGAAAACGGTTCGTTGTATCAAAAATATGTAAAGGGTTAAAATTCAAGATCATTGCATTACTGATTAGATGGTGAATAAATTTTAAAAATTTTCACAGTAAATAGTTAATAAAATTTGAAAATATGGTGTGCATTTAACTCTTCATCAGCTAATATCTCAGAAATGGTTGGCCTGAGATTTCGACAAAGTATAAGTACTTTTTTTTGCCTAAAATTGATAAACGCATAAATACGAAACGCCAATATACAGGGTAGCAAAAAAGTTAGGTCCAATTTAATTCAAGCGTAGGTACCCTTATAGGTGTCGCCCTCTACAAACAGCGTCAAAACCAATGACATATTTTATGCCAACATTCAAATTTGTTTGGAACTTATTCCTAAAAAATGAAATAAACAAATAAATAAATAACTTTAACAACCTGTATATCGAAAACTAAGCATTTGTGGACCCACGTTTGTAGGAAAAAAAGTCTTATTTTGACCTCAAAAATACGCCCCTAAATTCTTTGTACTGAATTATGAATCACCCTGTATATTTTACTGCACACTCATCTGTGAAGCTGCTATTTTTGTTAAACGTAATTCTGATAAATTCTCTTCATGTGATACTTTAAATATTCACACTAATAGAAATACTAGTCGTATTTTTATTCAAAATTATAATAATTTAAGTACATTTAAGAGAATCATTCTTTCTCTGTTTAAACATTTACAATAAACTGTCTGTAACCATTAAATATTTTTGTATTTTACGGAAATAAAAAAATGCATGACTCATTTGTATACATGCTTTCTATTAAGTACAGGAATTCTTATGTTTCATTCCTAAATGTGTAAATAATTAAGTCACATTAATTCAATGTTTTATGAGTTATTGTATGTATTTTTTTATGGTTTGATTTTTAAAACATCATGTATTTGTAACATACTTTACTACGACTATGTTAGTGATGATTGTACACATGACTATGTGCCTCATGCCCTGGTATGGTTCTTGTGAACAGAACTAGTGTTGCAATATACAGGGTGTTAATTAAGTATGTACAATAAATTCAACAGACGATTATTTGAGTGATTTTATGACAAAAAGTTAATATAAACATTGGTTCGCAGATGCTTCGTTTTCAAGATAAAGGGTATTAAAATTCTGTAAAAAAATTACTATTTTGTAAATATCTTAAATACGCTTTACCCAATTTTGTTGTAATATTTGGCAGTGTTATTTGTACTTTATGTTATTTAGATGTTACACATGTTATTACTAAGAAATTATAAAAAAATATAATTTCCAAAAGAAACTTTCCCCATGTTTCTTGTGTGGTCCAGAGATATGAAATTAAGTGGATTCTATTTTTTTTCTACAAAAATTAATCAAGATACGAAAAACATTCAAGAGACAAAAAAGTTGTATTTTTAGTTGCTTAATTAAAAAAAAATATAAAAATTACAAAAAAGTGGCGTACATTTTTTTTGTCTAAAATATTCGTTAAGGTACCGCTTGGGACGCCACTGGACTTAATAAATCTAATCAAGTTAGGGTTAAATTGGCCCCTTAACACTACAAATAACACTGCCAAATTACAACAAAATTGGGTAAAGGGTATTTAAAATATTTACGAAATACCAATTTTTTTACAAAAGTTTAACACCCTGTATCTTGAAAACGAAGCATCTGCGGACCAACGTTTATATGAACTTTTTGTCTTAAAATCACTCAAATAAGCGTCTGTTGAATTTATTGCACATACTTAATTAACACCCTGTATTTATTAGTTTTTGCTTATATACCAATCAGTTTTCCTCATTTCATTTCATTTCATTTAAACCGAATTTATCCCAGTCAACTCAACTCTGAGAAAAATAAACAACTTCCGTCGTTCCCCCATTGTCCAGATTTACTCCTTTATTTAATAATTCAGAGTCCGGAACTCGGCAAAAGGCGTCGAATATTAATAGAACGACCCTTTCGCTCTCTGGCCTTCCAGGAAGATTTACGGAAATCCTATAATGTCACCATAATTTCATTAGCCGTGTTGATTTAGGTAAAAGAATTCAATTTAGGGATTTCCGTGGCAGTCTCTTTGTGTTCCGACGACGAGAGCTTGACTTACTGACAGACAAATTGACCAGACGAGTCTGACGCCTACCAGAAACAATTGCGAAGGAAACGTTGTAGGCCCAGTAAAATCATTTACATTTACTCATTATGTATTACATTTAACGTAAATTGTAATTGTTATAGTTGTTTAAAAAAGCACAATATATACATAATTTCGCCACTAAAGCTTTATATGGGCTTATGGTTATTGCGGCTATGAATTTTATGATCCAGAATTTGATAGATCCAGCTCTACGCGGCTTTGTTATTAATTCGGGTCATATCACAATGAATTAAAACAGAAAATTATAAATTACGGCTTGTTTTATTGCTACCGATTTGTTACACGGAGATGCTGCAATTATTTCTACTGATGCAAAAACCCACAGTGCTTTGTTCAACGGATCTAGTTTGCAATTTCAAATAATTTTAGTGGCGGCAAAATTACACAGCCACACAATAAAAAAGTTGGGTATACTTTTTATGCGACATATATTTTTCGTAGTAATTTGGCCTCCTGAACACGAATCTGGGGTCAGAATTGCCCCATCACGTCACAAATTTTTCCTAGCCTCAAAAAACTTGTGAAAAATAGTGAAAATTGATGAAAATTTACTGGGAAAATTTGGAAAAAAATTTATTTCCACATCAAATAGTGCATTGTTATGTAAAAGACTATGCTGAATTCAAATCCACTGTCAGAATTGAGCTAGAACGTGTGGTTTTTTTTTCTAACCTCAAAAAACCGAGCAGGAATCGCTATTTTCAAATTCTGAGCGGATTTTGACCAGATTTTGTATAAAGGGGTTTTTTGGGTCGCTGATTACGAATATGAATTCACATTGTAAAAATTCAAGATGGCTGATCCAATATGGCGGGTGTACTTTTTTGAAATCGACCGATTTCAGTAAAATTTGGCATCATAAGGATTGCTGGTTGATCTCACCTTCATTAATCACACATCTGGAGCCAGATTTTCATAAATCAAGGTAAAAGATTCCACTCCGTCAAAAAATGTGAGTTCGCTTAAAAAAATGACTTAAGGACTCTACACATGTAACGATGTGAGGTGTGATGTGCTTGTTTCCATGGGACAAGACAAAAAAGTTTCTACTTTATTCTTTCATTTATTTAGTCGTGCATGGGCTTATGGTTTTCCAATCAGATTTTTTTAACTACTATGCAGTTTTCCTATGGCATTTAGATGCTTTTATTTCTTAATAATTTTAAAGTTCAAGGAAAAGGACACATTACTGCCACACAGCACATCACTGCATCTGCTTATGCCTTCAATCTAAAAATGTGACTTTGCCGAAAAAATGCCGCCTACTCGGCCTAAAATGATTACTCTGCCTACAAATTTTACCTTGAATGAAGGTGAGATCAACCAGCAATCCTTATGATGCCAAATTTTACTGAAATCGGTGGATTTAAAAAAAGTACACCCGCCATATTGGATCAGCCATCTTGAATTTTTACAATGTGAATTCATATTCGTAATCAGCGACCCAAAAAACCTCTTTATACAAAATCTGGTCAAAATCCGCTCAGAATTTGAAAATAGCGATTCCTGCTCGGTTTTTTGAGGTTAGAAAAAAAACTACACGTTCTAGCTCAATTCTGACAGTGGATTTGAATTCAGCAGAGTCTTTTACATAAAAATGCACTATTTGATATGGAAATAAATTTTGTTACAAATTTTCCCAGTAAATTTTCATCAATTTTTACTATTTTTCACAAGTTTTTTGAGGTTAGGAAAAAAATGTGACGTGATGGGCCAATTCTGACCCCAGATTCGCGTTCAGGAGGCCAAATTACTACGAAAAATATATGTCGCATAAAAAGTATACCCAACTTTTTTTTTGTGTGGCTGTGTATTAATGTCTAGCAATGTTTTATTATTCGAAATGGAAATGCTGCATGTGGCGTTTTTGGAAAAGAAATACACAATATACACTATGTCCCAAAATGATGGAACAATATCTTTTTTCCAGTTAAAATTTAAAAAAATCGCTGAAACAGTTCAATTAGTAAATAGAAATTGTAACTTTCCTGCAATATATTCTATTTTTTTTGAGACATGTTCGACAGACCTATAACATTACCGACCATCTTTTTTAATAGAACGTTTTATATTTAAAGGTTAAAGATTGACGAACGCGAGTGCCAAAGGTCCGAGTCCAAAGGGCAGTGATCTCAAATCCTTCAGAACGTTTTGCTCTTCCGTCATTGGCCAATAAGATAGATTTTGAGAAAATATCTTCCGAGACCTTTTGAAATATTTACACGATATTTGATGAAGTATTTCGAAGTATTTTGAAGTATTCGAGATGTTTCAATGCAATTAGAGCATTTATTTAACTACAAGTGTTTTGGGCTGAACATAAATTGTTTGAAATATGAACCTAAAAGAGTCAAACTCACCTGAAACTGGCAAGGTAGGCACGCAGTCCATCCTAACGTCTGCCACTGCTCCGGAGATAGCCTGACTGACGTAGACGAAGCAGTACTCCACGTACCTTTCGGTGAAGAGGTCGCAATCAAACTGCAGGCTGTGCTGGTTCCTCACCACTCTTTGCTCGGCAACATACTCCAACGTGGTCGGTGGCGCTAAGGAGGCTACGTTAGCCCTAAGCCTCGCGAAGAGCCGGACTCGGTCTCCTTTGGCCAGGATGCAGGAAGGATATTGGAAGAGGACTGTCACACCGCCGTTATGGACGTCGCAGGGGAAGATGCTGTGGGCGTGCACGTTGAACACGAATTGCTCGCTCCAGTCGGCCTAGGGTACAATATTTGAATTATTGGACATGGTAATGCTGCAAAGAGATGTTTTTGGTCGCTCATTTTACTTGGGATTGTTTCATCAGGCAACTTTTCTTCTCGTTACAAACATTACCATAAAAAAAAACAGGCTGCTGTCATAGAAGAGAATATGTCAAATGGGAATGATGTAAGAAGCAAGGCGGTTGTGTTTCTGTTAGGAAAAATGACTCGAAGTTTTCATCTAGAAATTCATCATCGCATTTAAATGTCTCTCCGGACGGTTCCAATTACCGTCAATTGAGGGATGCATCCTCATCTGCAGCGACAACCTCTGCCGTATATGGTTTAATTGGAAATCGCCAACGGCCTGTGACAGACCATTAATCTCTACAAATCATAAATCAGGGAAACGATCCACAGGGCGTTATCCAAGTTTTTATTGTGGTTTGATGATAATTACGACAACATCTGGGTTGTGGGGATACCGGGACGGAACTTATTTCCTCGAACTCTGGACTAAACTACACTTAATTAAGGATTGTGACAGGTTTTACGTGGACAGACGCAAAAGTAGGCCGGATTTTTGTTCAAAGTGGAACGCGAGGGGCAATTAAATCGCTTTATTGATGTTTTTCTTTGATACAAGGCTTGGGAGTAATTAATCGGTTGTAATATCTTATTCACATTATTGATATTTCGTTTTATTTAATTAGCATTGTGAGGTGATTTCGTTTTACAAAGAAGATAGGTTCTGGATCAGTCGTTTGTTTTTTAATTAGAATAGAATTTAATTGAAGATGTCAAATCAAGAACAGGATTAAATAGCTCAAACATCTAAATTAAAACGGTGAAAGCATATAGCGGAAAACAAAATATCGATAATTTAAAACAACTACTTTTGTTGGTTAAAGTTATTTAATATACAGGGTGGTCCAGATTTTAATAGACAAACTTCGGGAAACTATTAAACAGCAAAAATTAACATCACTTTGCTCTATGAACATAGGCGCAGAAAGCTACCGTTTATGAGATACAGGGCGTTCAAATTAACAAAAATAAAACAATTTTTTTAAATATCTGGAAAATGGCTTTATCAAATTTATCCAAGTTTAGTACACATTTTTTTTCAAATATTTCCCCTAGTTTTGTATGCACATAGTCCAAATTCAAAGACCAGTGGCGGAGAAACAAGGATGTCGTTTACTTATTTAAAGTGAAACTTCTACGCCATTGAATTAATTGGTATGTTTCCGACTATTATAAAATGTATTCATATTACCAATTAATTCAGTGGCGTAGAAGTTTTACTTTAAATAAGGAAACAACGTCCATGTTTCTCCGCCACTGGTTTTTGGATTTGGACTGTGTGCATACAGAATTAACGAATAGAGGGAAAAACGGAGAGTAATGACAATAAATGAAGAAGTCATGCTATCGTATTTTTTAAATTTGAAGAAAAAATATGCAATTTCATCTATGTGGTCGAAGTATTCGATGTTGAAGGCACGAAGGAACGTAGTTCAATAATTTCTAGTTAAAAAATTCAAAATTGTAAAATACAAAAAGTTAGACAGATTTTTATATTGACAGGACAGTACAACTACCGCCCCCTAGACGTGACCCCAACACTATTTGCACATTCGTATATGCCTCCTCAAAAAACGTAGAACTACAAATTTTCAAAACAATCGGTCCATACATACTTAAAATATAGATAAAAAGGGAAAATATTTTTTCAACTTTAACACCCTGTAGAACGAAAAGGCATGTTTGGCTCAATCGCTATATTTTGACATTAACAATATGCCATTAAGCTGTGTACCATTATTAATGACTCACCCTGTATATAAAGAAAATAAAGTTCGTACTTTAAACATGATTCCAGATAAATGAAACGATTATCCTGATTATAATTATAAATCTTTAGATACTTTACGACATGTTATATTACAATGCGGTTTTAAATATAAAAAACTTGACAATCGTATGGTAATTATGGAATCACGACGTATAGTTGCACTTCGGGAAGATTATTTACAAAAAAAATCGAGAATATCGTCAAATAAGTAGGAATATAGCTCGGAATATAGTATTTCTAGACGAAACAGGACAAAATTTTTCTGGACGCCTATGGATTCCGTAGAGTTTACGAGTTAAATGTTTTTATGCGGTTCCAACTGATATCGTAACGACTATACTATAAATGTAAATGTTAATGTTAATAAGTAAATAAATTAAATTTGATTTATTATAGATTTATTATTTTTTTTATACTACTAGTGAAACAAAGTTACTTTCTATCACGCGAGCTCGCTATGGGACCTATAGTGTAGGGGGTTAGGTGCACTGGAAAGTGCTAGATAGTACAACAGCATCTAGCACTTCCCAGTGCACCTAACCCCCTACACTATAGGTCCCATAACGACTCGCACTTGTGATAGAAAATAGTATGTGCATCTCGTTCGGAAAAGTTGCCATAGCGCCACTTGGGCGCTTTCCGCACTCGCTTCGCTAGTGCGTCAACTGCGTCCTCGTGGCGCTATTGGCAACTTTTCCCCACTCGTTACACAATGTACTATTATTATTCCACTAGTGGATAAAGTATCACTTTAGATGGTTCATATGTGTGGATAAAAGTTCGCATTTTTTAATAGACTGTTATTTTTTTTTATTCGTACCTGCTAATCGATATTAACATGACAGTATAAGCGTACAAGTGGATTTATCGCTACCCCGACTGCTGAAAGTAAATTAAAAAATACAAACATCACAACTTACAATCTGGCCTGCAGTGAGAGCTAGTTATTCTGATTTGTCTTTGACAAATAAATAACCCGATACTGTTTTCTGTTTTTTAACAAAAGAAAATGAAATATTCGCTATTTGAAGTTGGCAACACGCTGTTATAAACAACTGCTGGATTCAATATGGGAAGTGTGCTGCAAACAAACAAATTTGGCACATGTGTCTATTATTGATTGCTGCTGCTATTCAAGCTTATTTCCAAAATTAAATCCCTCAGAAATATACGCTACACTGTTTCGACGAACAGAAAATATTCACTTTTCGATTTATTATTGAACCACTAAATTGCCAATGTTGTTTACCCAGTAAGAATATAAAAAAAAAGTATGTATATCCAATGCGATGAAAATATTGTTAGTAAAAACCAACAAGCAAAAAAGTAAGTAGTAAGTTTGATTCCCTGACATATCTCTGTAAGAGCTCAAACCCTCAAACCCCTCGCGACTCAAACCCCCCGCGCGGGGGGCAAATATCGACCCCTGAGGCACACCAGACAGCTTAATCCCCCCGATCCCATCTCACCTTTAGCTGGCCATCGCAATCACTCCTAATTACCTTGACGTAGGCGGCCGTGTGGGGTAGCGCCGGCGAGGGGGTCGTGGGCCTCAGGAACAACGCGTAGTGGCCGGCGAGTCCGAACAGCTCGCAGCGCAGGATGTAGTCCTGTTTGCCGGGAAAACCGCGCACCTGCTCGGAGTAGAGCACCTGACAACAAAACGGACTAATTAGTAGTGGATAAGGGACGGGACAGCGCGCAGAGATAGGCCTAGCGGTATATTTGAGGAGATTTATGATGGGCGTCGGGAAACGCTTTCTCTTCGCTGACTAATATTTAAATAAGTCTTAATAATCTCGCAATCAGAGAAAACAAACATTTCTGTTTTAATAATTTTGTTTGGACTAAAAGTCCTTTAAAAAAAAAGTTCATGTAAACATAACGAGCGTTCAAATAAAAACGTGGTCGAAGTTGGCTCTGACACATTGGACGTAGGGAGTAGCTTATAGCGACCAACTTAACCTCATTTCTCAACGAGCTGTATAGCAGCTGTCAGTTTCAATAACGTTAATGACTATATAACTTTATTTTAAAGAATAATTGTGATAACAATAACAAATAATTAAAGGAGCTGCGGAAAGTGTCCCCCTCCTTGTTCCAAGCACTTTTCACACCTGTTCTTCGAAGAATTAAAGACATTTTCTAAGATGCTCGGGGTATTGTTAATTTCACGAATCTTGTCTATAAGTCGAGCCTGCAGATGTTTTAAATCAGGAATAGGCAGTTCAAAAATAGTGTTTTTAAGGCAAGGCCACAAAAAGAAATCACACGGCATAATATCACATGACCTCGGTGGAAATTCAAGTTCAGCATTGCCACTTATTAGTCGATTTTGGAAAACTTCCCTCAACATATTCATCATCTCGCCTGCCGTATGTACCCTTGCGCCATCTTGTTGAAAGTAAAAGTTTGTAATTTCGTTTTCTTCCAGCTGGTTAACAAAAGGAGCGATAATTTCTTCTCTATACTTTTGCGCAGTAAGAGTACCATTAAAAAAAATAGGTCCATAAATCCTCCTTCGATTGAGAGCACACCAAACTCCAATTTTTTGAGCGTGTAGAGGGCCCTCGACAAAAAAGTTATCTGGTTTTTCAGAAGGCCACATATATCATATTCTGTGAGTTTACGTAACCACTTAAATGAAACCAGGCTTCATCAGAAAAAAAGGTGATATTATGAAGTTCACCGTAGTTGTTTAAAAACCATTCACAAAATACATCCCGTCGCGGAAAATCAACTTCATGAAGTTCTTGCTGACAAGTTAAACGATAGGAGAACAAACGCAAATCTTTTTTTAACACTGTGTGGCAGGTATACCGACTGATACTCCCACCATTTGTGATAAAACACGTACAGAAGTTCTTGGCGCATTTTCCATTATTTGTTGGACATTTTCTTTTAATTCTTCAGTCCGCTTTTTAGGTCGGCCGCTTCCTTCTTTTCTTGTTACACTGCCCGTTTCACGAAAAACATTAACACAACGCTGAACTGCACTTTGAAAAATTTTGTACTCAACAACGCCGGGAAATTGATTTTGAAATTCTATGAAACATTCCTCAATAGAATACTTCCATATTCCATCAATCTTGCGTCCATTTCTAAAGTAGGACTCTATGATAAACACTTTTTGTTCTTGAGAAAAAAAACATTTTAAACGCTTTTTAAAACGAAAATATTCAAATTGATAGCGGCGATATAGCGCTTTGACAGATGACGTTTAAGTTCATTTGCTATACGCTACGCCCTACGTCCAAATTTTCAGAACCAACTTGACCACGTTTTTATTTGAACGCTCGTTATATGTATAGATGCGTCGTTTTCGATTTACAGTGTTCAAGTTTAAAATGAGAATTGATTTTTTATTCGTAAAACGAAAACCCCTTTTGAGACTTTGTTGAAACTTGGCAACTTTGTTTGTAATAATAATACTCATTTTCTCACATAATTTAATTTGTCCTATTTTCTCCAGTGGCGTCACAACAACATACCAGCTTGATAAAAATAGAAAAAAATATAGTACGCCACTGCTTTTTGGTAAGTTTGAAATTTTTCTCAGATTTAGCTATCAAAAATACAACTTTTTTTGTTATTTAATTTTTTTCCTATCTCGCTTTGTTTAATCAGAAATAAAACATTTTCATGAATAGGTTCGAGATTTGCTTAATTTATATATTTACTTGTTACAAAGTGTGCCGTGGATATATCTGTTTTTGAGTTGCCAAGGATTTTTTGTTGGGACCTTACATCCTACCCAATAGATTAAGCGGTCAATTATTTCTTGAATTTTTAACTACCCAGCATGATAACATGCTAGACGATGTTCCTTTTCAACAAAGATAGACTCGTTTTTTCAATTAGATAGATGCCCTTCGCAGTACTCTTTGGTTGTACGAAACTGGCTGAATACAGAGTATCCACAGAGATGGGTGGATCGTGGAGGTCCAGTTGGGTGACCTCCCCGATCGCCTGATCTTTGGATTTTTTTGTTTGGGGATTTATTAAGGATGCAGTTTACTCTACGCCTGTTAACTCGCAAGAGGAACTTGTACGACGAATCCAGAACGCTGCTCTCAGAATAACTCCACATCATTTGAGAGACGTTAGGCGGTCTTTAATACGTCGCTGTAATTTGTGTGTAGGACGAAATAAATGGTGGGCATTTCGAACAGCTCCTTTGAGGTCTATTTATACAATAAGTTGTTTTTCCATACCGTGTTGTTTATTTTTTTATTATCTTACAATAAACTGTGTGAAACAAATAGTTTTATTTCTGTCTAAACAAAGCGAGATAGGAAAAAAAAAGTAAATCACAAAAAAAGTTGTATTTTTGATAGCTAAATCTGAGAAAAATTTCAAACTTACCAAAAAGCAGTGGCGTACCATATTTTTTCCTATTTTTATCAAGCTGGTATCTTGTTGTGACGCCACTGGAGAAAATAGGACAAATTAAATTATGTGCGAAAATGGGTATTATTATTACAAACAAAGTTGCCAAGTTTCAAAAAAAGGGGATTTCGTTTTACGAATAAAAAATCAATTCTCATTTTAAACTTGAACACTCTGTAAATAGAAAACGACGCATCTATACATATATGTTTACATGAACTTTTTTTAAAGGACTTTTAGTACAAGTTGTAAAAGTCCTGCTACAAAAATCGCGGACACCCTGTATGTATCGTCTTCATCAATATTATTTTATTTGTTGTTATTATGTGATGTTTTGTTTTTATTATTTTTACTATTTTTTGTTTTTTTTTTTCATGTATTTATCTCTGTATTTTATTTATTTTAAAATTAGTCAATTAAGTAAATAAAATCTATTTCGATAAAATGACCTGCTTTGGCGGTAAAATTTGTAAAAAAATAAATAAAGCTGCAAAAAATATTTTTTTAACATATGTATATCAAATAATAAACAAATAAACTAGTTTGTACTCCTTTTTTTGTAAACTATATACAGGAAATAGTGTACAATTTTCCGGATTTTGAGAACGGAAAGCAAAAAAGAACCGTTAAGAGTTTATATAATTTTTTTTCGACTCACCCTAGTGATTAGTTCTTGTTGAGAAATGAAAACTAATTTTTCGTTATAAATTACTTATTTTTCATTAAATTTAGATAATTATTGGGAGAAAGATTTGTTATTTGAAGCAATTTTTACTATATACAGGGTGTCCTTCTGGGTTTTGATTAAGGGGATAAAAACAAATCGAAAATAATCAATTTTCTGATTGTTTTTCTTTGCTGAGTTATTCAAAAAACTAAAAGTAAACATTTGGGCTGGGTTATTAAATAATTATGTAGTTCAGAGCTGTATTTGCTGCAGCTGTAAATGAAAACTTACCATTGTCATTGCTGGATGACGTTCCGTTAGTAGTTAGAGTAAATTATTGGTTTCAACATGATGGAGCTCCATTACATTATGGTTTACGAGTATGAAATTATTTGAATCGAAACAACTTCCCAGACAGATGGATTGGAAGGAGTGGACCCATAGCAGGGCCTCCTAGATCACCAGATCTGAATCCCCTAGATGTTTCTTTTGGGGTTATTTAAAAGGAAAAATTTACAGCAAACCTGTTCTAAATCCAGAAAATGTAGTAGCCCGTATACACGCTGCTGTCGCGTTAATAGACCAAGAAATGCTACAAAGGGTTCATGCTTCAATGTTGAATCGTGCCAATCTTTGTCTTGAAGTAGAAGGCAACTTATTTGAACACCTTTTGTAAAAACAGTTTCTATTATTTAAGCACATTATGGTTTTAGTTTCTTCCTTTCCATTTTAAAATTGTTTCATTATTAAAATGTTTTTCTTTATCCTTTTCAGGTTAAAATAATTCTTACCTACTATTGGTTATAAATTATTTGTCTTGGTCCCCATAAGGACATACCTCAGTTTTGAGACAAAAAATTGAATTTTCACTTTTTTAGTTTCTTTTTTTTTTTGAATAACTCAACAAAGAAAATCAATTGGAAAATGTTCAATTCATTTTTTATTTCTTGAAAACTCGCGAAATGTGAGGTTGTTGCTGAAATAGATAAAATTATATTCTGAATTTCATGACCAATATTCGTCTGTATTGTATATACGTAAATTTGAGTATACCTGATTTAACCAAATATCGGACAAATATTATGAATGTTTCTGCGTTTTGATTGGTGAAAATTGCCGAAAACGCTAGATATGGAATACTTGTAGTAGAAATGATTGAATTATTAAAATCGAGTACCTCTATTGACTACACATGCAAATACGTTTGTTCGACCCAAATCCATGTAGATAACTAAATTAATCACGTCCATTTCGAAACAGCGCTGTTGGATTTAATCAATCGGAATAATTCATTTGTTGTTTTGATTAATTATGTTTGTCATTTTAATAATATGATTTTTTCTATTTGTAATTTATTTAATGGTTAGTTTTATCCTCAAAAACTAACCACTTTTTATCCAATACAATAAAATAAATTGTTCATAGGATGAACACAAAAACAAACAGCCGCATCTGAAAAAGTAAGTCGACTTCATAAATGTGACTAGTAATTTTGTTCGGAATAACAATTTGTTTCCGTCATGGCAATTAACGCAAAGTTTAGGGACTTTTAATTGACAGTGTCAATTGTGCAATGTTGGTTGCCTAAGCTTGGCAGTCACGTGAGTTTTGCTCGGTATAAACAATTCTTGTGAAATCTTGATGATGTTTCAACAGTTGTATTTGAATTAAAAAAGCGCATTCATTTCTGTAGAAGCTTCTAAAACATCTAAGAATGCTTAGAAATCTTTCAATGCTATGATCAGACTTCCTCAAGGATCCATACTTAGCCCTATCTTTATTATATTGAGAAAAAAGTTTATTTCTCTTGTAAGATTCTATTTCCACGTTTAAGAGACAACTGAAGAGATCGATTTCTAAAAAATTTTTACCCACCTGATTTCCGGTCTTATTCTGATCGTCTGGGGGATTATCACAGGTAAGCAGAGAGTGCCCGCAGTAGTGCAGCTCCAACCAGAATTCTGGGATAGCACTGGCTGGACTGTCAGCCACTGGCGGACAAACGACCTCCGGGAATTCGACGATGGCCGTGACGGGACTTTCCGGATACGTTTGGATGTGCTCCGGGGTCACAGTCAGCTGAGGCATAGGCCACCGAACGTCCAAACTCCGCGTGATCACCGAAGTGTCTTGGTTGTCGAGGGTTGTAATGTTACTTGAACCTGAAACAACAGAATAGTTGTCAAAGACCGACAGGAGTGATTTTTTTCTTCTTTGACTTACCTACTGGCTTCTTCTTGACTAGGATGTAGTACTGGCCACCTTTGGAGAAGTACCCGCAAGGTATTTTAACTATGGTGGAGTTCTTAGGTGGGGCGCTAGCGTTGGAGAAGACTGGGAACGTCGTCAGGGGCTGCGCTAGGTTGCCTTCCAAACGAGAGAGTTGGAGCAGGAGTGGGGTGAATGACGTGAAGGCTATTTGCACGTGCAAGTCGCCGCTGAGAGCCACGTGCGACGGTGGCATGGAAATTTCCAGGCCTGGAATACCACCCCCTGGAACAAATAAAAAGTTAAATGGAGATATATTGCATTTATTTATTTATTATTTTTGTTGCACCAAGCGTTTATTTTGCATTTAATTATTACGCCATGTTTGGCATCACAGTAGGTTCAGTGGCGAAATAGAGCAATTTTTATTTTGTAGTCAAGGAAAATCAGTTTGGCAACAATATACGTTGATAAATAAAATGTTAAATAAAAAGTTGATATACAACAAAAAAATTATCAAAAAATACAGTCCACTTTTTCAACACAATCATTCCCGAGCTGCAAGAGCCCTACAAGACGGGTTTGTAGACAACATTTATTGGTCCTTCGAGCCGGATCATCAGCAGGATAGTATCAGCAAAGAGGATATACAAATTTTTACGCAACATAGTAAGAAACGCCGACAAAGCAGCAGATAACACGAACCATATCTGGTGATAAAGAGTTATAAAAAAAGCTTCAGGTCTCAAGGTGGGTCAATTCCTACTATATTACCCTATATTTAACCCAACAGTGATAAACAGCTATAAAAAAATAACAACAAACAAATTCTCGTGTTCTTTATACCAACAGAGTCATTTTATACATTTTTATAACATTTGATTTCGGCTGTTTGAACTGTTATCTTTAGTGACAAATCATTTATAAACGTAATAAAAAATCAAAAGCCCTAAATTAGGTCCTTGCGGTATTCCTGAGGTAATATTGAAAATATTGTATGAGACATTTGTTAAAAGTGATTTTATTCTCTTCGTAGTATTGTTCCACTCGCTACACTTGTTCCGCAATATTCTCCACTCACAAAATAAAATGTCACTTTTAACACTTCTATCATAAATAACTATTGTGTTTAATTTTATAGTACTGCCACTAGATGTCATCATGCATGTTTTACTAACAGTAAACTAATGAGAGAACAAAGTAGTCTTATAATACCACCAGATGTCACCACTTATTTCTCATTAACACTACTTCAAATATTTGTATTATATTAAATTAAAGTGCAATGAGAAGATAGGACGGTTTTATAATACCACCGCAAGATGTCACAAGTTATATCTCGCTAATGGTAGTTCAAACATTTAAAATATATCAACAAGGTGATATTAGAAGAACGAAACAATAACAGACTTGATTCATACTCGACATTGGCATCTCCAGTGCATTGATTGTAGAATAAAACCAAATCTCAGAGAATTAATTTGTTTTGTTTCTAAGTAACGAGCGTTCAAATAAAAACGTGGTCAAAGTTGGTTCTGAAAATTTGGACGTAGGGCGTAGCGTATAGCAAATGAACTTAAACGTCATCTGTCAAAGCGCTATATCGCCGCTATCAATTTGAATATTTTCGTTTTAAAAAGCGTTTAAAATGTTTTTTTTCTCAAGAACAAAAAGTGTTTATCATAGAGTCCTACTTTAGAAATGGACGCAAGATTGATGGAATATGGAAGTATTCTATTGAGGAATGTTTCATAGAATTTCAAAATCAATTTCCCGGCGTTGTTGAGTACAAAATTTTTCAAAGTGCAGTTCAGCGTTGTGTTAATGTTTTTCGTGAAACGGGCAGTGTAACAAGAAAAGAAGGAAGCGGCCGACCTAAAAAGCGGACTGAAGAATTAAAAGAAAATGTCCAACAAATAATGGAAAATGCGCCAAGAACTTCTGTACGTGTTTTATCACAAATGGTGGGAGTATCAGTCGGTATACCTGCCACACAGTGTTAAAAAAAGATTTGCGTTTGTTCTCCTATCGTTTAACTTGTCAGCAAGAACTTCATGAAGTTGATTTTCCGCGACGGGATGTATTTTGTGAATGGTTTTTAAACAACTACGGTGAACTTCATAATATCACCTTTTTTTCTGATGAAGCCTGGTTTCATTTAAGTGGTTACGTAAACTCACAGAATATGATATATGTGGCCTTCTGAAAAACCAGATAACTTTTTTGTCGAGGGCCCTCTACACGCTCAAAAAATTGGAGTTTGGTGTGCTCTCAATCGAAGGAGGATTTATGGACCTATTTTTTTTAATGGTACTCTTACTGCGCAAAAGTATAGAGAAGAAATTATCGCTCCTTTTGTTAACCAGCTGGAAGAAAACGAAATTACAAACTTTTACTTTCAACAAGATGGCGCAAGGGTACATACGGCAGGCGAGATGATGAATATGTTGAGGGAAGTTTTCCAAAATCGACTAATAAGCCTCAATGCTGAACATGAATTTCCACCGAGGTCATGTGATATTACGCCGTGTGATTTCTTTTTGTGGCCTTACCTTAAAAACACTATTTTTGAACTGCCTATTTCTGATTTAAACCATCCGCAGGCTCGACTTATAGACAAGATTCGTGAAATTCACAATACCCCGAGCATCTTAGAAAATATCTTTAATTCTTTGAGGAACAGATGTGAAAAGTGCTTGGAACAAGGAGGGGGACACTTTTAGCAGCTGCTTTAATTTATTGTTATAACAAAGAGGGGGACACTTTCCGCAGCTCCTTTAATTGTTTGTTATTGTTATCACGATTATTCTTTAAAATAAAGTTGTATAGTCATTAACGTTATTGAAACTGACAGCTGCTATACAGCTCGTTGAGAAATGAGTTAAGTTGGTCGCTATAAGCTACTCCCTACGTCCAATGTGTCAGAGCCAACTTCGACCACGTTTTTATTTGAACGCTCGTTATATTATCCGTATGTCACATGATTATTTCAATATTTCCTTCAATATGCTTAGTAGACAAATTAGAGCAAAATTTCGCGAACACTAAGTCACAGAGTTTTGCAAAAACATGGTTTATTAGACGGCGGGAGCTCTACCAACATGTGCGTTTCTAATTAGAGTGATCTACTGTAGCTACGGGTACATTAGCGTCGCGCTTATCATTAGAGCGGCGACGAATACGTTCAGATATTCCCCATAAAGTAACTTAATTCTCGTAGGTTATTAATTAATACGAAACTAGTCGCCATTAATTACAGCTGTAGCAGATCGGAGATTGCTTTCCAAGTTTACTGATCGCATAAATCAGACTGGAAGGAACTAATTCGGAATTTTGCGGAATTTAATCGCATGTTCCTTAAGCCGACTGTAATAATTTTTTAATTGACAGCTGCGTATTGTTGCCAAAGAACGACCCGAAAAGTGTTAAAAACCGAGGTAGTACTTTGTGCTGCCATGCCCAGTGTTAGAACCTCCAGTTGAGGAAGTGGTAGCAATGATTGCTACTTATTTTCCTCTTTTTAAAAGCAGTTGAGATTGTTTCGTTGAAGTATGGTACTCAATAATTTGACTGAACACTACTTGTCATGTTCGTTTTAATTTTGTTTATTGATTTTATAGTATGTAGTAAATACACTGTTGGAAGATAGAGTATTATTAATAAAATGATGTATGTATAATCCATAGATCTGATAATGTTATATCATTATTAATTTTTGCAGAATTCACGCTCGGCCACTTATGTTAAACGTTTCAGACGCTTTCCCGTGCCGGCCTTATTAAACTGGCAACGAGGGCGAGCAATTTTCCAACAGGAGAGAAAAACCATAAAGACAGACGTAACATCTTGTTAAAGGAAATGCGCCAGTCTGATAAATTCAGCGGCGCTAATAACGTAAATTTTCCGGCCACTTCGCTCGAGCGCAGGACGCCGTGCGCCAAATTGATCCCATATAAGATAAAATGCTTTATCGAAGTTATGATCCTTACAAAATCCGGCTGCAGCTACAGATTTGCCCGTGCACAGTCGGTCGCGATGTGTCGCAAATGGACTTCACGCTCAATTTCACCCGTCAGGCACATCATAGAGCTGTTCTCTTTTTTCTTTCTCTCGAGCTCGTTCTTGTTTAATCTCTTTTAAGCTTATTTTCTTTAATTACAAGCAAGGAGATAAATTCCCCAGAACATCGCAGGAGAATAACATTTCTCATGCTCCTCCGCGTTTCGTGAAATATATTATCTGGGTAGAATTTTAAATTGCTGCTTATCCCGTCCTAATTGGATTGTGTATGTGCGTTGCACTGAGATAACTGTAATTGCAGATTATAAAAAGTATATTGGCTACTTGGGAGAGGAAATCTTATTTGCAGTAATTATTATGATAACTGAAACTTTAAGGAACAAAATAAATTTCACAAACGTTAGAAGCAATAAAAGTACAATAATACAATTCGCTTTTAGGCAGTGGCGGCTCTTCACTTCTATACCAGGGAGGGCGGAAAAATTTACGCGAAAGAAAAACCAAATAGAATTGGGTAGTTTTATTTTAAGTACCTACTATTGAAATATAGGGAAAATGTACTCGACATTATTTTTTATAGTGTAAGTCCGTTATTCTGCTTTTGTCCGAAATAAACTTCTCAGCAACTTTTTCATTAAAGTTTGGTATTTCTGACACCATTAATTTTTGCAGGTGCTACAATCAATGTAAGCTTTTACAATTAAAAAAAAAACACAAGAAACAAAATGTAAGTAACAAAAATCTTATACCACACCTGAAGAAATTACGTTTGTTAAGAAAAAAGAGCGGTGAATAGCTATTACTTGGTTATATTTATATTATACGGTTTTTTTATTTATTTTAATGTACCTATTCTATCGTTTGATAAAATTAAGGCAGTCAAACATCACTTTCAATGACATCCTGTATATTACAGTATTTACGTATTTATCTTCTTTACCTCTACTACTAAATCTAATATCTCTATGTCTGGCTAGATGTAAATAATTTATGAATACGATTTTAGTTTTGCTTTTCCATAGAAACGGTTGCTGAGAATTTTGCTGTATTGAATATTATGCTTCCTATTGATAAAAGCTGAAGTCGCTTTACAAAACAAAACAAGCGTAGAACGTTGGATTTTAGCCAGTAAAATGGACGAAACTCCAGTGCCGCTATATTTTAACATGTCTATTATCTGAAAATGTCATAGAATAGCAACACTTATCTGATACAATTCCAGTTAAAATGGAGGTAATTTTTCAGTCTTATTCCTGCTGTGGAAA